AACAAAGGAATGCATGGAAATGCAGAGTGGGCTCTCTGGCCTGCACTTCCACAAGTTTATATCCAACTACCAATTGTCAGCGCCTTGCTTCTCTGTCACACTTCTGCTCACCAGCCAGAGAGTTCTCCATGGTCTTCAGCATGGAAAGCATACTCACAGGAAATTCCAGTCCAAAAAAGAAAAGGATTGCTCCTCAAATGAATGGCTTACTTAACCCAATCATTAATTCAACAGATATTAACTGAGGACCTAGAGCACTTGCTCTCAAGAACCTCAAGGAAGCCAGCCTTCAAAACACCATCATTTTCAGGAATTCCGTCTATCTGAGACCTGCATTTCCCTGGGTATTTGTTCTAGCAATGCACCACTGTTGCATCTGCCAGATAGGGTCAGGAGGGCAAGCTAGCAACAGCAGCAGATCCCTCACCAACAGAAACCACTAGAGGTGGGGAGGGGGTAGCAGTACATGGGAAGGGGGTATAGTGCTGTGAGGTGAAAAAGTAGCAACTTACTCAGAGAAACACGGTTTAAATTTCTGTGGCTACATAGAAAATATCTAGTGTCTTATTTAAAAGATACCATGATGTGGACTTTGCCTCCAAGTTCTATCCAAAGCACTTGGTCTAAGTGGAGTCTAACCACCACTTTAAGGTAGTTAACCCCAGCAATGTTCAAAATGACATTAAAAAAACCTTAAAAACTCTTGCAGAACATTTAACTGGAAGCAGAGCATTGTACTGAATTTACTTTTAAGGGTAGTTAACTAACTCGACATGGGAGCCATGTAATGCCTTTTCCAACCTTCAGGTTTTGGGGCTGAGGGCTTTAGTTCAGACTACCTTCTGCCCAGTTTCGCTTTCACGTTAGCCTTAGCGGGACTACTCTCTGGCCCTCAGGCTGTGCAGTGGATGACACCCCTCCCCCCTACCAACACAAGGGGCCTTTCTTTGGAGTTAGAGCTCAGTAAGCTGCCCGTGTCTTGGGCCAAAACTATCACAGAGCTGCCTGATTCCAGTCTCCGCACCATGTGTTTGGGGAAGAATCATGCCTGGCTGCGGCTCCTGAGAGAACAAGTTTTGCCCCCAACAGAGCAGATCACCACCTTCTGATTTTCCTCCTCTATGGGATGCCATTCATGAAAGCAGAGTCTGATTCAGGGTTGTTATTTTTTCCTTCTAGTTTAGAAACGGGAAAGGAAGGAGACAGGGCTTTCTTGGTAGACCAGAAAGCCCACGCTTTGGATACAAGGGTGGTACTGTCCGACTGGGGAACAGCCAGGGCTGGAGTGAGGGAGAGGGAGCAGGAGGCAGAGCTGGACCAGGAGAGTCGGGCTGGAGCGGAAGTCAAGGCCACGGAGACTGGTCTCTCAGCAGGATCCAAGGACTAAGTGTTGCTTTACAATGCCACAGGGGCCATTTCCTAGTTTTACACTAACGTGATTTTGAAAGACTTTTTAAGGCCTTTTTTTCCTTACCTAAAAGCACTGCCATCTATTACTTTCACATTTAGCTTCTCAATGATCGCTAAGGTAGGAAGAGTATCTTTATCTTACAATCAGAAATCACAAAGTGAAAGATTTCACCTGCCCCCATCAGTGACAGTCCTCAGTCGTCCTATGTCTCAGCCCATCAGGCCAGTGGCTCTTTGAGCCAGATTGACTGGAATATTCATTTTGTTTTGGGCACATGAAAAGGATTTCCTTCTAGCTTTAAATTTCAACCACAGCAGTGCCTGGGATTGTTTACATGTGACTTTGCTATGAAATGTCTTTGGAGTCCCTGCTGTCATAGACAGACAGGGTCCTGGGTGCATGAGGCTGCTCTCCATACCCATCCTGCTGTATTGGACTCAGCTTCCTAACTCTAGCTGGGGTGCCACCCTCTCTACAATCCATAACCTGTCTCTCAGGTTGGTGCCATTCATTCAGCGTGGAAATGGAACTGCTGATGACTGTCCAGGAATCAAGTTAGCAATGTGGCTCTGAGCTAGCCCAGCAGACTCAGCAGAAGCCACTGGCATATCCAGCAAGACGTGGCAATGTAACTGGCCCAAGCAGCACACGTGCTGATATGCAATCCCTCTCATTCTAGGTGGGCAGAGGAGCCCCAACACAGACCCTTCCCCAAAGCCTCCTTGCCAGGAGCCCAGCCCTCTGCTGCTTATCTTCCTGCACTTTTGCTCCACCTGTGGTGCAGCAGCTGTGACTGAAGCCACCCAGGGTGACAAGTGGGCCAGCAGCCTCTCCCAGCCCCTCACACTGGACCCTGCAGCGTGTGGGACAACGTGCTTTTGATCCCTGCAGCGGCCTCCCCCACTTGCTCACTTGGTTCTCCCATGAACCAAGAGAACTGGAATTGGTTGTGTCATTTTTCCAACCCTTTCCTCAGACAGTCCCCCTAAGGCAGCTGTCCGGTGTGGGAATGCTTCCTCCTCCACTGCAGGCCTAGGCACAGCAGGGAAGCTGGTGAGCTTTAGCTGCTCAAAAGGTATCTTTCAAAGAGGAAGCAAGCCTTTCCCAAAAGGTAGCTTTAGCCATCACCAGATATTCCTGACAGCAGCACAGCTCAGAATAGTAAAAAATTCAGTTCTTTTATGAGGATAAGATATGAGGACACACTGTTAGAGACTAAAAGTTACTTCTGAATCCATTCACAGGGCTGCTGAGTGCCAAAAAAGGGGCACAGATCTGTTTATCCTGGGAAAGAAATGATTGCCAGCTGGAGTGGCCAGGACCAGCTCCAAAAAATAGCAGGTTTAATTAGAGTAGGCAGGGGTAGACTGCAGAGGGGGAGGCGGCATCCCCAGAGATCAGGATGAGCAGGAGGTGGCATGCAGAGAGTCCAGCAGGGGCAGCCGGAACTGGCTAGAGCCAAGGATCTGGGTGGACCAGGCTAGCTTGCAGCCAGATTGTGCAGGGCTTTAAATGCCAGGCTGAGGAATCTATCAGGGGAGTGAACTGAGCAAACAGGTGTTTTAGGAAGATGAATTTGAAGAGAATGTGCAGGATGAATTGGAAAATCTGGAAGCATGGCAACAATTAGGAAGCTATGAGATTAATTAGGCTGTTGTAGTAGTCCTGTGTGGGTTGATAACGGTGTAAATGAGAACAGTGGCAGCAGAAATGGAAAGGGACAGCTGCAAGAGACATTGTTAAGAAAGAATGCACGAGGTTTGCTGCCTGATTGGACTGGGGATCCAGGGAGCTCACCAAATCAAAGATGACACCAGAGTCTTGAGTATGAGCAACTGGTAGTAAAATGAGCAGAAAAAGGGATGCTAGAAGAGGGAGCTGATTTCAGCAGATGTGAACTCAGTTCCAGATAGAGTCTGTAGGATATCCAAGTGGAAATGTCTGACAGGTCACAGGAAATGTGAACACGAGAGGCTCAGGAGAGATGTTAGGGTTGTGAAGAACTTAGGAATCAAATGTGAAAATGTGATAAAAGTCGAGGAATGAATAAGATCTCTAAGGAAGAGCAAGGACAGTGAAACAGCACCAAAGACTGGCTGGTCTTTGAGGATTTCCTACATTTAAAGGATTTATATTACCAAGTTGAGTTCAGAAGTACCATCCAGCTGCATGTCTTCACCATTAAAATATCAGTTTAAAGTGTACATTGGATGGAGAAAGCCAAGCAACATAGCATTTTTATGTCTCAGTAGGAACTAAATTATAAACACCTAAGTATGCTTCTAAAACAAATTTGGCTAAATTCACCGAAGAAAAAAAAAAGAATAAATGATACAGTGACTATAATCTAGATTAGTGGATTTCTCTCACAAAGGTGAGTCAAGCAATGAAAAGAAAATCTTGTGAAAAATATCCTATAAATAATAATTTAACCAGAGAAAAGTAGATATTTATACATTTTAACACAAGGACCAAAAAAAAATTTATATTTGCAGTGCACTGTCTTGCTGAAGTATGAATTCAAACTGATTCAACAAAGTATTTTTTAATAAAGGCTATATTAAAGTATAAGTTGCTCAAACATTTGTGAAGACAAGTTCATATAGAAAAGCTCCCCAGAGTATTGTAACCCACACTAGACTCAGATAAGCAAAAAAAGAGAAAAATTTTCTTTTTAGTGTGTAGCTCTAGTCTTTTAACATGTATATTTACAGTATACTGTCTTTTTTTTGACAGTCACTTAAAAAATAAAACATTACAGTTTTGAATTTTTGGACTAAAAGCTGCCTTTAAGTCCTCTAAAGAAAAAAGAATTGTGTTATGTATTGATGAAATTATTCTTATTGCTTTTCTTTTGCATTTTATTTTTATTAAGGTATCATTGATATACACTCTTATGAAGGTTTCACAAGAAAAACAATGTGGTTATTATATTTACTGCTATTATCAAGTGCCCCCCCATACCGCATTGCAGTCACTGTCCATCAGTACAGTAAGATGCCACAGAGTCCCTATTTGTCTTCTCTGAGCTACACTGTCTTCCCCACATACACCATGTGCACCAATCATGATACCCCACAATCCCGTTCTCCCTCCCTCCCCACCTGCCCTCCCCTACTCCTCCCCTTTGGTAACAGCTAGTCCCTTCTTGGAGTCTGCGAGTCTGCTGCTATCTTGTTCCTTCAGTTTTACTTCGTTGTTATACTCCACAAATGAGGGAAATCATTTGGTATTTGTCTTTCTCTGCCTGACTTACTTCACTGAACGAAATACCCTCTAGCTCCATCCATGTTGTTGCAAATGGTAGGATTTCTTTTTTTAATTTTAGTATCATATGAGCAACATTGTGGTTACTAGATTCCCCCCATTATCAAGTCCACCACATACGCCATTACAGTCACTGTCCTTCAATGTAGTAAGATGCTATAGAGTCACTACTTGTCTTCTCTGTGCTATCCTGCCTTCCCCGTGCCACCACCCCCTACATTATGTGTGCTAATCATAATGACCCTTATTCCCCTTCTCCCTCCTTTCCCACCCAACCTCCCCCAAGTCCCTTTCCCTTTGGCAACTGTTAGTCCATTCTTGGGTTCTATGAGTCTGCTGCTGTTTTATTCCTTCAATTTTTGCTTTGTTCTTATGCTCCACAGATGAGTGAAATCATTTGATACTTGTCTTTCTCTGCCTGACTTATTTCACTGAGCATAATACCCTCTAGCTCCAACTATGTGGTTGCAAAAGTTTCTTATTGCTTTTAAGAAATATTCAACTGAATACCTTAACAGCATAGCAATTGTTTCACAACACCTTCAAAAACTTTTGAAATGGACTTAGATTTCACCACGTTCTTATATTTAACATGTTTAATTGATATTTTCTTCTAAAATATCATAGCAAACATGTTTAATATACATCAAAAGCAGTTAAAAGAAACTTCCTTTCCTTTGGATATCTGCCTTATAAAAAAACAGAGACAACTTTTTGAAAAACAAAATTTACAAATATAAAATCAGCTGTATATACAGAATACTGACATGCAGTGATTCAGAAGACACTGGTTTCAGCTGTTTCAAGGTTTACATAAGATGACGGAAGCAGTCTCTACCATGTCACTCCAGAAAATATATCCAATTACTAGCTAGCTTTAGAGATACTACATATACATTTAAGAAAATAAAGATGGACAGTCAAGCAAAACTTAGAAATTTAGTAACTTCTTACTCTCCAGATATTTTAACCACATCTAAAAAATTTAAACACATAAGATCATATGACCTTAAAGGGAACTCTTAAAATAATACAACATTTTGGGAATAGTGAAATCAAGTTACTGAAACCAAAGTAGTTCTCTTGAGCTCCTCAACCTTTTAACTAAGACCCAAATAATTTGATTCTATCAGCTAAACTTAATCCAACAGTTGATTATTTTTAAATGCCAGTACTGTCAAACCTCTTTCAATAATATTTAAATATACACATGGACTAATTATTTATTACTTAGATGTTTATCTCATTTCTTTAAATATGTGCCTTAGGCTAATCTGCAGAACATTGGGGGAAATATCCTGATAAAAAAACTAAATTTGCTTGTTTCTTTTTAAGTATTTATGCTAAATAATGTGACTGAAAACAATCCTTGTGTGGAAAAATCAGGTGGGTGATTCTCATTTGTGGGTTACTCTTAAATTTATTTAGCTAAGGGGGAATTGCACTGTTCTGGGTCAACAAGACTCTGAAGGGCTGCAGTTTTGCAGGCAACTGAAAATCTGAAATCAATGAAAAAATTAAAGGTAAGTGTCTTGGTGTAGAACATACAGGACACTCATAAGTTTCATAACAGCAATTTTTTCAGTTAAAGTTGAAGAATCTGTAACATATATGTATTTATCTTACTTCAAAAAAAGACAATGACTCAGAGATGCTTAGATTCAACTTCTGGTTCAGTCAAATGAAAGTCTGAATGTTTGGAATTAAATGACCCACTACTCGCCAAAAATCCACAGAATATTCACACCGGATAGACCAAAATTAACTCTCCTATAAAGAGAAAAAAAAATTTTAGTGGAATTGATTACCAGGCATTTAAGGTCTTTTTTCAAATAACTATAATGAGCGTTTACAAGGAATACATGTTTAACTGATGACACATAATGCTATTGTGCAGAATTATGTTACATGTGGTTTATCAGGTGAATGCCAGTAACAGTAATTACTTTCTTAATTGTGCTTAAAGCCCAAATCTAGAATAAATAGATTTATGGGGTGCTGAAAATTAATTTTTCAGTGGATTTTAACTATTATACTAGAGAGATTAACATGATAATTTTAGCAAGTAAGATTACAGTAGAAATGTCAATTAAATTTAATGAAATGGAGAATATTGAGATGCTAGGTCTCTTAGAGAATTTCACCTATTTGACTTGAATTAGGAATTTACAATTATTAGGAATGCTTTAGTGAATTTGTATATGGGGATTATGAATATAGCTTAAGCTAAACCACACCGCATATAACAAAAAAGAATATAACTGTATTCAATGTATGAAGGGAAAAGAGGGCTGTAAGAGATATAAATTACTTATCTAAAATGAGAAATGTTATAATTTTGGCTCATTTCAAGGCTAAGCATCTTTTTGTGTTATAAACCATTTATAGAACACTTTTCTGTGAAAAACTCTTTCATGTCTTTGACCAATTTCTATATTTTTCTAATTAATATGCTCTTCATATATGATGGCTTAAGTTGGATTTACTATTTAGTTTGAGTTTGTCATTTTGTGTTAAACTTTATCATGTCTTTTGCTGAAGAGAACACTTAAATTACTGTGTAGGCAATTCTATCTAGATTTTCTTTCTTCTTCTAGAGGTAAAACATTCATCTCATTCCAGTAACTGCACAAATACCTAGCACTGAATTCATAATGCATTCAGATCAACCTGCTGCTTTACAGGCATGATTCCAAATGGACTAAATCTGAACCACTCATTTACTTCAAGTTACAGAATAGTAGTTTTTAAACTATTTGATTGTTTTAGAATGTATTAAAGAATTAATCATATTTAAAAGTAAATAATTTCCAAGTTTTTCCCCCTTGGTTAAGAAAAAAATCCCATATAAGTAAGGACATATTAGTTTTAATCTAAAATGTTTCTTCTCCACATATAAGTTGTTTATCAAGAGGAGACAGGCACTTCAAAAACTGTACCAATTATTTTTGGCCTCTAAGTAAATTACTGCCCCATTAACTACTTTAAAATTTTTTCCATTTTTATGCATATGAAAACTGTATATGACACTCAACACAAGCTCTGTGCTACCTGACAAATCATTTATTTACACATCAAATATCAATTTGGATCTACAGAGGAAAAGATACATTTTCAATTAAAACCAAACATTGTCTATTTCCAAATTCTTCACTTAAAAATAATCTTTCAGAAACAATACTAAGTGAATAATTAAAGAACAATATATTTACAGCATATTCCATCTTTTTAATATATATGCATGCACATATTTATAACTAAATACTGCTAGAAATTTTAGGTAAAGAATTTTATTTAGTGACATGGAAGAATGTCCAAGATATACTGTGTCAGACTAAAAGGCAAGATCACAGAGTAATAATGTTTGGGCACAATACATTTTTAAACAAAAACAAAATCAACTTGTTCCCAGACAGTAGTCTGGAAACGTACACCTTAAACTGTTATACACCTTAAATTGTTAACATTGGGTACCTAGGAGTGGGGCTGGGAGAGGCTGGACAGAGGAAAATTTTCAATTTCTAATGTACATACTGCTCTATTGTTTAAATATTTCTACATTGAGATGTGTTATTTCTGCAATTAAAAATAAAGAAAAAAGAACCATGTTAGTTTAGATGTCTCACAAAAGTGACTTTCCTACTTAATCTTCCTTACATTAAAAAGTATATGATAAAGGAAGCTGGAAAATGTTTTTATCTGTTTATAAAATGCTGCTATGTCTTTTAAAAATCTTTGCATCTAATTTAAGGACAGGAGCTTGGCTTTCTCTACAGCAGTGCTGTCCAATGGAAATATGTGATGTGAGACACGAATGCAAGCCACATATGTAATTTCAAATTTTCTAAAAGTTTAAGAAAAATTATAAACAGGTGAAATTAACTTTAACAGTATTCTTCATTTAACCTAATATATCCAACATATTATTTCAACCTGTAATCAATATATTAATAGATATTATTAATTATTAATAAGATATTTTACTTTTTTTGGATAGAATATCTACAAATTTTAGTTGATGCATTGATCAGCCACATCTCAATTTGAACTAGTCTTGTTTCAAATGCCCAATGTCACATGTGGCTGGTGGCTGCTGTATTAGACAGTGCAGTTCAAGAACATGTATAAAACAGGCCTCCTAAACAAAACCAAAGACAGGCATGCACATCAGAACTGGAATGAAAACCCCCTATGTTTTTTACTATAAGCATTTACATTTTCTTAGCTTTGGCTTACTTAGTACAGGCAGAGCTGGACCCAGAAGCCAGGTTTTCAAATACCCAGACCTTGCATTACCAGATTTCCCAACTTTACTAGGGTCTACTTACTTCAAGTATTATTTGATACACCAAATAATTTTGAATCACCAAAATGACAATACAACAATTCTGAATTTATTGTGACAGTATGTGAATTTCATTACTAAACAAAATAAACAATTTCAACTGACCATTTTTCCACTCCAGTTAACACCTCTATAGAATGGCTGCTGATTCAGTCTCTCTGGAAGTATAAACTTTTGCAGAAGGCTTTGTGTCTGAAATGGGATGGCTTGAATAAAAATAGACTAAGTTTTTTGTTTTTTGTTTTTTGAATTTTAAAGTGGCAAGAGCCTGACATAGATGTCAGAATTATTCTTCTGGGGGACACAACTGTAAAGCCAATGCCTTTTTCCCAATAGGGAAATGGAGGTTCTGAAGAATTAATGGACTTGCCCAATACCGTAGTGCTGGCTAGTGACAAAGCTGAGCTACTACTAGAAGCACTATCTCTTGTTCAGTCCACATCTCTTTTCAGTGTATGGCGATGCCTTCTGCAGCATCTTAAGGAAGGAAAATAAATAAATTAAGGGCCTGTGTCTTTAAAGCACAAATACCTACCCAAGCATTCCTGACTCTTTGGTCTTTATTATGTAGAGGAACATTAACAATGTATGAAACATATTATTTCGGCCCTGGAACAAAGACAAAAAAGACAGCAAAATTTACTTCAAACTAAACCAAAGATTCAGACTGACAGGTGAATGCAGATCCTATGAATTTACATTCTATTAACTCAGAATTCCCTGTAATTCAGACTTTCATTTATTCACTCAACAAAGTGCCTGCTTTGTCCTAGGGAGTAGGGACATTGTGATAAGTAAGACAGAGGCAACCCATGTAATCAAGGAGCTTAAAGTCTGTAGGAAAGGCAGGCAGTAAACTCAGTATCACAATGAAGTGTGATGAATGTCATGAGAGAAGTTATTGGGCATGGTGGGAACACACGCAGCACCTGGCCTAGACTGGCGAGGCAGGGGATGGTGCCTTGAGGGAAAGATTTTTAAGTCAGGACCCGAAAAATGAGCAGAAAATAAACAGACCGGCCAAGTTTCCACACAGAGGGAGCAGCATTTACGAAAGCCTGGAAGAGGGCTATTCTGAGACTGCTGCTCCTGTACATTATACACAAAAAAAGCTCTATCTCCAAAATTAATAGTGTAAGCAAAGTGCTGGGATTTAAAAATTTTTAATCATACATCAAAGTATATTACAGTATATGTTAATAACATGTTAAATATAAATTTATTTTATCTACATGGGACTGTGAGGCAGGATTTTGCAAGCCCTAAAGTCAAACTATTATATGTAATTTCAAGTCTATAAAATAGTTTCTAATTTAGATTTTCAAATTATTGATCAACTTGTATCTGCTTACTCTAATTTAGTGTTTTTGTTTGAGAATGAGGACATATGATTTTTGAGGACATATGATTTTTAAAAGGGTTTCTTAAAAAAAAAGAAAAAAAAGGATTATATAGGTTCGCATAGGAACTTTAATGGCCCAAAATAATCATATTTACAAAGTTGAAATATTAAACTTGAAAAAAGAGAAACTAATATCCTCTAGTAGGAATCTGATGGAGAATACAATTTATGATTATAGATAATGTAAAGTTTCTTAGTAAAGATGCTGGTAACAAAACACCTGGATACAAGTATAAACTGGAACAATAACCATTTTTATAAAGAAGTTGATTTTAAAAGTCTTGAAACTATTCTGTAACCTAGAATTCCATGTTTAGACTTTGAGCTAAAGAAATTACCTGAAAAGCAGACTGCTATATGCATAAAGATGAATAAATACTCAGCAGTTATCTAGGCTGGTGAAGATTTAGAAACACTCAAAATGTCCAGCAATGGGGAAGGGCTGAATAAGTTATATTATGATCTTCTGATCAAGTTTTTGTAGTCATTAAAAAGTATTTTTATGAAGATTTTTAATGGGATGGAAAATTGTTACAAAGTTTATTTTTAAAAGGAAATAAAACTGCATAAATAATGATTTCAACCCATAAAAATGTACAGAGAAAGACTGAAATGAAATTTATCAAAAGAGCACATCAAAATGTTAAAAATAGCTGCCTCTGAGGAATGGCATAGTGACATGGTTTTTCTTCTTTTTCTTTATATTTTTCTAAATTAAGTATGTATTACTTTTATAGCTAAAAAAAGGATATACAAGAAACATATTTTCCCTAATTTCAAAAGTTTACCTACTCCACTAACAAGAGAATCTAATTTTAAAAATATTATCAAAGCAAGTCATCCATGACATTCTGTAATAACAACTTCTACATTTAGAACTACCTTTGGAAGACTGTAGACATGACGCTGGTAGATTAGCTCATAATGTGGAGGGTTAACAGCACTCTGATAAATGCAAAACACATTCTCATTTGTCACATCTGTAAAGGAAATATATTACATTAAAAAAAAAAAAACCAAAACCACTAGATAGATTTCATGTGAAAAGCTCAACTTAGTGTTTTAGGAAAGGTTTATACCTGGCTTATTTGGAGTCTGAACAAAGTGCTGAGAAGTGAATGTCTTTCCGTCAGGGTATTTAGGATGTGGAGGTAATCTGGAATCCAGGTAGGTGCAAAATACATGCATGATGATCTGAAGAAGAGGAAATAATTGTTTAAAGTCAGCATGAAAATCTATCAAGCCCTTTAAAAAATCTGGGTTTATAATAACTCCAACTTTTAAATTGTTCCCTAAAGAGAAAATTGGCAAAAATGCTTTCAAGTGTTATAAGATGAAATCTATAAAATGAAAGATAAAAACAAGACATTCCTAGTTTTCTGTTAAGTGGATCATTCATACCCATATAGTTAACAACAAAACCAAGATACAATAGACATATATTCAGTTCTCAATTTGAAACTTCATTTTCACACATATTTTTTTTTAAATAGCATGATTTTAAAAAACTCTTACATGCTCAAAAACTTTAGGCTCTTTGATCTCATATCTAATTCTAGGAATCTTTCTTAAAGTCATAATCCCAAATAAGAAAGAAATATGCATCATGATATTACTTGGAATGCTATTTAAAAGAAAAACAGTAACTTCTCTCTAGCCACATGTTTCTCAAACTTTTAGATCCCATATAGAAGAATGTTTAAATGATAGTGTGTAATTAATAATGAGAAAATACTAAATGTTGCAAAACTAATAAAAAAACAGGATATAAAATTTTACATGTGGGATGATTACAACCATGACAGAGATATTTAAAAAATGGCATAAGGTAAGTAAAGGAAAAAAAAAACAACTCCAAAATACTAACAGCAGTTGGGTTAAGATAACAGTACAATTAAAAATTTTTATTTCTACCTCATTTTCTAAATACTTTTTTGTATTTATTTTTATAATGCAAATATAAACACATAAATACAGTAACAAAAATGTTAAACTAAAAAACAAAACAAAACTAGAAACTTACAGCAGAATCTGTGGGCAGGTCTGTATCCCACTTGCGTCCTTTGAAGTCTCCACCTCTATTCCATCGAAACGAGCTCATACAGCCTCCTTGAGAAAGTTCTGGAGCAACAAAGGTGAAATTTAAAAAGTTAGTAGTATGCAAAGGAAAAAAAAGGCTAAGGGGTTACAATAAGGGACGCATATCATCTTAAACACCTAATCAAAACATAAAGAAATACAAGCTATAAACTTAAACAATACCATGAAGAATCAGATATATCCAAAATATGGGACAAGACTACTATTTTGGATTCTTAAAAAAGTCAATGTCATGTGGGGAAAAAAAGGTGGCAGGATTGTTTTAAACAGAGACCAAAAAAGATGAAACAACACAATGCACTATATAAACCTAGACTCTCTCCTGGTTAGGAAGAGAAAGGGTATGGACATGGGAAATTTGAATATGAATTGTGTATTAGATGATATCATAGAAATATTATTAATTTGTGGTCTGATAATTGTATTGTGGTTATGTAGGAAATGTTCTTAATTTTAGGAATTTGCATGCAGAAAAGTAATGATGTCTGCAACATGCTTTCAAATGGTAGAGCAAAAAAATATGTGTGTGTGTAAGGAAAAAGAATCAAAATGGCCAAATGTTGGTAACTGTTCAATCTAGGCCTGTACTGCAGTGTTCAGTGTATTTTTTTAAACTTTTTTTGTTTAAACTTACTCAGTATATAAAAATACTTTACATATACTTTGTATATATGAACACACACATGCACATCTGCACATGTGCTTTCTTTTGGATGTACAAATACCCTATTAATGAGACAATATTGCCAAAAAAACTGCAACCTGAATTTATAGGATATACAGTGGCAGAGGATCATATAAAACTACAACATGGAGATGCATTCAGCATAATCCACACCATGGAAAAGTCTACAGGACAATCCAGTTCTTTCAACAGATAAGTTGCAAAGAAAAAAAAGAAGGAATGGACAGGAAATCTACAGCTTAAAAGAAACTTAATATAATCAATCAATCACAAGATATAATAATATTTGAATCCCAATTCAAACACCAAAAAATAATTAGATGTTTTATGAGATGGTTGGAAATTTGTAATTGACTCTATATTTCATGATATAAAGACATTGTTAAAAAATACTAGGTGTTGTTACTGTATTGTGGTTATGTTTTTACAAGTCCTCATCTCTGAGACACATATGGAGATATATAGATGAAGTTATAATGAAATATAGGATTTGCTTCAAATAATACAGGAAGGGAATATGGATAGTGCAGGGGCTGCCCAGGGAGAAATAGTTGTTGGGACGGGATGGTATGTACAAGAGGGCTGAGCACACTGCTGTGCCTAGTTTTATGTATGTTTGAATTCTTATATAAGAAGTTTTTAAAAAGTCATAATAAATGCTATTCCTGAACCCCAGTCCAAACCTAGAAGAGAGAGGGGCACCATAACATTTTCAAATCAAGATTTATGATAAATCTGAAGAGCAAAATACTATTTCTAAAACTTGTTTTAGTGAGCAGAACATTTTAGAGTTTATCCAAATAAAGGTAGGGAGGCGTTGAGTGTGTGGGACTATCAGGCAGGCTAAATTTCCTGACTGTCAAGTCCATCTCCTCAGATTACATTTCCCCCAAATAATCAGAATAGAAATACAGAGCAGCAGCATATTAAATATCAATTATAAAAACTGAAAGAAATAAAGATCAGCATGCTGAAATTATAAAGAATGTCACAGTGGCACCTATTCTTAGTAAAGAGCAGAAAATGAGTGAAATATTCACTTGAGCCCATTCAGCTCATTATTTATGTTTCCTTTTACAGAATTAATGATTAACATATTCAAGGCTAACTACATTATTTTGACAACTCTTAAGCATACAAAATTTGAAACTCAAAAGCTGTATAAGCCTTAAGCCATAATCAAATATATACTTACAAAATATAAAATGTACTTGGCTATATTTTTAATTTTTTCAAAACAATTTTTTTTTCCTTGTTACCTTTATTTATAAAATCTCAAAGTAGTGAAAAAGCTGTCCATTTTTTCCTCTTCAAATCAATAGTTACCTTTGATCCTTTCAAACAAGTATTCCTGATTTGGGGTAAGGTCTAGATACTGCACGATTGTATTCAGAGTTGGAATGAGAGGAGCTTTGACCAGAGCAGCTTGTTTCAAGCTAGTAATGCTAGCCTCTGTTAAAAATAAAACACATAGAACACAGATTACGTGTCATGTAGGTTTCTAAAGGACTTCAAATGCTGTTCTCTCAATAGATACTGAATGAATAAATGGAAGCAATAATAATTCATCTTAACAATTTGCATTATCTATTTCACCTACAATTTATTTTATCATTTCTGGCAAGGTGGCCAGACTGACTCACATGCACACCTGCAAACACACACACACACACACTCCAAAAGCAAGAGCCAAATCCATTTTGGTAGATCTATAAACAATTAATACACAGATTTTTATGGGTTACGTATAAAGAAAGCTCAAAAAGGATAGGCACAGGTTCAAATAACATTAACAAGACCTAGAAAGTAACCATTCTGGCTTTAGAGTCAAGAGAGCTCTGGTCTCAAACTTCTACCCTGTGATCCTGGGCAAGTTACTTAACTTCTCTTAGTAGCCTCATCCATAAAATGGGGCACTAACAGCTTTTAAAGGTTAATGTGAAGGTTGTATAAATTACATATGAAATATTTGGATACTCAACAAATAGACGTTTTAGGGATGTATAATTCTGATCTTAGTCCAGAGAATAAAGATTGATTAAACAATACCCAAAAAAGTAGAAAGTGTTCATGTACAGTCCAGAGCACTTACATATTTTAAGGAGAAATTGATTCTCTACAAAGAGGCGGTTGACTAAAATACTCCCTATTTATTTTGAAACCTAATTACTTAACACGAAATAAGTTATGGTATAAATATTTTAGGCAGATTATATTATACAGACGCTTAACAGTTTTATTTTTTGCAGATAAGAGAATTGAAAATAGGTGATTTTAAATTATCATTGTTACATATTGTTCATGCAACTTTGTATTTACTATCTGGTGGGGACTTGTATCTAAAATAATAAGGAATAATAAAAAGATGAAAAACCCAATCTAGGAATGAATAAAGGATCTGAAAAGATATTTCTCCTAAGAAGATATATGAATGGCCAATAAGCACGTGAAAAGATGCACATCATTAGCCATCAGGAAAATACAAATCAAACCTACCATGATATACTGTTTCACACCCATTAGGATAACTAAGACAGACAACAAGTATTGGTGAAGATGTGAGAAACTGGAACCCTTATACACTGCTGGTGGGAATATAAAATAGTGCAGCTGCTTTAGAAAACAGTCTGGCAATTTCTCAGAAGAGTAAATATGGAGGTACCATACAGCTTAGCAATTCTACTCCTAGGTAATACCCAAGAGAAATTAAAATATGTCCACACACTTGTACACAAATGTTCATAGCAGCTTTATTCATTTTATAATAGCTAAAAAGTGAAAACGCAAAAGTTACTCAGCCAATAAATGGGTAAACAAAATGGGGTAAATCCATACAACAGGATATTGTATGGTAATAAAAAGAAACAAGGTACTGATAAATGCTACAAAATGCATGAACCTTGAAAACATTATGTTAAGTGAATGAAGCTAGTCACAAAGACAACATATTATATGACTCCATTTATATGAAATACCCAGAGCAAGCCTATCTATAGAGACAAAGTACAGTGGTAGTTGCCCAGGGCTGGACAATGGGGAGTGGTGGTAGGAAACAGGGGTGACTGCTAAAGGCTATGTGGGAGATGAGATATTCTAAAATTGATTGTGATGGTTGCACAACTCAAACCTTTGAATTGTAGGACTTTAAATGGGTGAACTAAATCGTAGGTAAATTATACCTCAATAAAACTGTTATATTTTAAAAAGTACAGTTGGCCCTTTAACAACATGGGTTGGAGGAGAATGCATTATACATGCATTTTTTTCAATAAATATATGGGAAAGCTTTTTGGAGATTTGTGACACTTTGAAAAAACATTTTCTTTTCTCTAGCTTACTTTATTGTGAGAATATAGTAATATACAAAATAGGTGTTAATACCAAAATATGTGTTTACGTTATCAGATAGGCTTTTGGTCAATCAATGGTAAGCTATTAGTTAAGTTTTGGGGGAGTCAAAAGTTATATGCAGACTTTCAAATGTGTGGGGAATTGGTGCCCTTAACCGCCACACTATTCAAGGGCTATCTTATATATTATAGACATTTAGTTTTTTAATTCACCTCAAGATAACAAAGGAAGTTGTTAAATAGCTCATTAAAAGCAGAGATTTTTCACCTTGCAGATTCACTGAAGGTAAATTAAAAGCTGGGCTCTATACTCACATACCTCCTATTTGTAGCTCTGGACAGCCCATTCTTCTCATCTGTGTGCTGACAGACTCAATCTCTTGCACAAGTGGCACTAATACTGTCTCATTGATCCACTAGGAAGAAATGAGGTAAACATTTTACACACATAATTCTAAAGCAATTCTCAAATAATTATTTTAATGAAATGCTATTTTTTTACTGTCTTCTACTTGAATACTAACAGAGTATAGTGAAAGAGAACAGAAGTAACAGCTACCTTAAATCTAGAGAGTTAAGTAAATAAGCTTAGTAAATAAACTGGTGTGTCAACTAAGTGATATTCTTAAATCATATATGCTTGTTTTTTTCTCAAGGAAATATAAAACTTTCAGTTTTATGTTGTTTTTCTTAAATTTTTCTTTCTATGATTATTACTTAGCTAAAAGGACACTCTTCAATTTACATTTCTAAGATAATTATTCACACATTTATTCATGTAGTGTTTACACTGGTTTATGATTAGCAAGACAGTTTTTCAAACTAACATAACTGATTAACTCTCAGCAGACTTACCCAATTCCCTCACCATGTGGAAAACAGATCTATTATATTTGAAACTGGTTTGTGAATATTATATTACGTTAGGGCTAGTGATTTCAAATACCACTTTGCATGGCTAATATCAAACCAATTCTGTGATGTTAAAAGACTGTCCAAGGAAATACCCCACTGGTTTGTTTCTGTGTTATGTGTTGTGTTCATAGCAACTTCAACTCCACTTCTGTTTCCATGCCTCTGTTTAACCATAAAATGAGAGGATGAGAAAAAGTTTCAGATGAAATACAAGTCTACAATTTCTTATAAACATTTTGAATTAAAAAAAAAACTGAAAACTGAAAGATTCTTTGTAATCCATTTAACAAGCAAATTCATGTACTGGCAAGTACTGAACTAAATTCCCATGTATCTATTATGGGTTTTATCCTACTTAGTATGACTATTCATATGCTTTGCTGCAGAAATATTAATGTGGTTGACTACTGAGTGCTAACCAGACTCTACTAGAGGTACTGTAAAATGTATGGTCAATGCATACTGCTTTTCAAAAAATCCAAAAACCTGAATTTCAGAACACTGTTGTAACCTATGAAATTTAGATAAGGGATTTTGTTTGTATTTCTTCAAGTTAATACTGCTGACTGAGACTTTATATTTTAAATATATTAGCATTTTTTGATAAGCCTGTAAGTTGAAATAAGAGAGTACAGTTCTAGGACATCATTTCAATTATTCATTCTTCCAACATTTATTAAATTACATCCTACTTGTCAGCTACACTTTGACTGCAACAAAAGTATCCAAGGGGTTTGAGAGAGATCTAGGTCTCATCCTCAGAAAGTCTGATTGAGTGGTTCCACAATGTTTAATGTGTGCCAGGGATTTTAATTTTTAAAAAGCCATCTATCCAGGCTTTGGCTCAAGAAAGTAGGCCGTTATTTTTCACCACTCTATCCTATACTCTATTTAAATTACAGGAGCAGAATAGAAAAGGAGTACATGTGACTACAACATATTTCTAGAAGATGTAGATGTTGAGTGGACGGATGAGTGCTGAACCATCAAACAGCGGGAGAAGCGGCTGCCTGCACAGAATCTGAGTGCAGCTCTCTGCAGCAGCGGAGCGGCCCATTCGCCCAGCAGAACTTAGGATGTACAGGTGGTAGCAAGAGCGAGGGACAGAGGCAGGTTACAGCAAGGGAACTAACTCACTCTGTATGTGGAAGAGTTGGTCTTCCCAACCTCCAGGCCAAAGATTAGAGGGTTTTTCTCCAGAGGGACTGAAGAAATTTGATGTATTCTGAAATAGCTTCAAGCTTATATTACCTTCTAAGTCTGAAATTTTGAGGGGAAGGACCTCATTTTTGTTTCCCCTCACATTTCTAGAAACAATAGTTTCTGACAGAAAACCTTTTTGAAAAATAAAACTAAGATGTTAGGAAAGGGAAGAAGATCTTAACTAAATGTATTCCTTTATTCACTCAAAAAACACTGATTCCCTAAATACAGAGGAGAACAGAATCCCATGAAAACAGACACCATAAAGTAAATGCCATGTTTGTCCTTCTGTATGGGCCATATCAAACTTTTAATAATAACTGATAGTCTAATTAATAATTAACACAGTTAATCAATATGCTAATGACATACTTTGCATATCAAGAGGTACTAATACTGTCCACAGAATGTCAAAACTTACATTTCTGAACTTAGCTGTCCATGAATCCATATGATCAAGAAGTTGTCTATTCATAGTCACTCTTGCCCAAACCTATTAGAAATATGTGTGAAATAATCAGATAAAAAGTCTTGCCAAAAATCAGCAATTCTTTTCCCCACCTTCAAAAACATTTGGAATAATTTTTAAAAACTTCATAAATGTCAATATTGATCTAATTAATATGCAGTAGTTTTATTACCCACTTGGTTGCTATTCACATACAGATATATCTTTAAAATTTCTTATGCTGATATGTTTAAAGGACATTCTTGCTTTTAAGAACAAAATTAAAATCCTGTATTTGGTATTAAACTCAGAAAGTTAATGGACTGTCAAATATTCTAATCCAAATGTATTTTAAAAGCAAGACTCCTGCACATGTTAAGTACAAATAGGTATTTGAGGTATCTTTTTATAAATGACTGCAGAAAAATATTTCAGACAGGACATTAATGTCAACCATGTGTTATAATTAGTAAAACATACAATATAATTCAGTTTTAGGTATATAGCTTTAGGTATACAAAGTTATATAGGAGCCTTTTCAATGTTTACTGTGTGCCAGATTTACGTTTCTAGCCAGCAAAAGTGGAGGTTACAGAATAAAAATGTTCTAGAAGTAGAAGAGAAGACTCTTCTAACAATCTGTAAATCACAAATAGTTAGGTCATTTTTATTTTCCATTTACCTCCTCTGCAGCTTGTTTAGAACTGAGATCGGCTTCATCTTTGTTAGCACATGGGGCTTGAGACCTACAGGCAAGCTGATACTGAAACTTCTTTAAAGTCTGTGCATAATCCCCCACAGAACGATTGTAGTTCCAGAAAGTAGGACTGGTGGAAGGCGAGGTCAAATCTGGGCTCCCTACAATGATTCATTTAAAGAGTTACCAGTACGTTGTAGTCATTTTGACGAGTTAGGACATAAACAATGGGTATCCAGGCATCTAGGCAATGACAATCAAGAAAGACACGGTCTCAAGGGGCTTCTCTCCTCCCTCTGCCCCAATATTACCTTTTTTTCAAGTAACAAAGACTGTTTGCACTAAAAATTAAATACTATTTTCTGAGCAGTATCAGTTTCAGAGCCGTAAGACCTCTAAGTGGTTGAAAATATTTCCTGCTGTAAAATTTAGCTTGTTTAATTCTCTAAGACTCTCAAATGATTCAGTGAGAAACAAATGACAAATAGCCTTGGGAAATAAATAGACTAGGAAGTTCCATGATTGGATTTTTAGCTCCTTCTGAATGGGATAACTATAGCCTCCTATTAATAAACTACTCTTTGGATTAGAAGCTACACTCTTCCCTGCACTCTGCTCATTCTATTTACAGCTTACAGGAATTCCTATGTTGTACTGACAAGAGACTATCTGCTGATTACACTTCTAAGTTTATAAATTTACTTTGGATTTAATCCTGTAGAAAGGCCCCTACCAGAGTACTTACCACACTTTAAGGTTATAGCTTCTCTCTTTTCCCAAATAGAATTTGGGCTCTTTGAGGGCAGGGAGTATTTTTTCCCTAGCACCTAACAGTATCTGGATAAATAGCAAATTTTCAATGATAATTATGCTACTTATGAAGGGCTTACTTTTTCAGAGTTTAACTGATATCAGGAATATCAAATGATACTTCATATACACACACACAAATCACAAATAGAAATTAGGGTTTAAAAAAATCTTAGCAGAATTTCTTAATAGAACTGGTTTTCTTATGTATATAGGCACAAAAGATGAGAAATCGTCAAAAGGGTATGCGGCAATATTTCAATTCACATCCTCAAAACCTTGAAGCTTAGCCAATGTTAGGCTAGTAGCCTTGGTGAATAGCATGTTTTGTGCTGGCAGTAAAGAAAGATCACACACACAGTCCAGTAAGGAAAAATCACATGTGTGAAGTTAAATTTTCAAGTAAGACTGACAAAATTATTTATAGGAATGAATTAATGCCAAGAAAACACGTCTTAAACCAATAAAAGTGATTTAGTAATAAGCAGGGAATAAAAAAGGAAGACATGGTCATGATAGAGCACAAAGTTGTCTTACTTTGATTAATCATTTTGACTATTAACTTTTAAAATGATAATCAAGCTTTTTGAGAGAAAACCTGAACTTGAGAATTACAATGAAGATTGGCTTTAGATGACAGAAGATGCTTTATGTTGATGGCAGCATGTTTTAATAGCTGCTGTGCATTAGCCAAAGTACAAGCAAAACATATAGAGCAAGCAGTGACAAAATGGGGCCCCTGCACAATGACCACCACCACAACAGGACAGCACAGACTCTGCAGCTGGAGGAATGCCGAAGTTTAGCCTAACGACCAAAGCACACAGAGCTACCTGGAATTCTGGCAACTCAACAAACCAGGTAACCTGAAATATCTCCCCCTAGATATGTATCTAAAAATATCTGTTCAATAAAACATTAAATGAACAATGGCGCTTGTACAAAAAGTAAAAGGAATAGCCGGTGGCTAAAAGTGAAGAGGAACTGGAAATCAGAATGGTCTGTGTGTGAAGTGAGGCTGTGGCTGTTCTGAAGCATTTTGGAGTCATTGGGAAAACACCCAACTGGGAACTGGAAATGAGGAAGTAGGCCCAGAAGACGTAGAGAATTGGATTGAGACTTTTCTCTCTCCTACATTCTGATGTACCTGGTACAGGGCCATGAACTTCAAAAGGCCACATTCTTAGTGGATAAGAAAAAAAATCTGTCCATTGGTACCAGGTGATAACAAGGAAGCTTGTGTGTCTTAGGTTGTTGGGAAATTTTTTTAAAAATCCCCCAAGACTTAAAAATTATAGGTCCATTTTCATATGGGTTTAAAGTGCCCATTTATACTGCTACCTGAGATCCAGAACCTCAAAGCCCAGAGATTACAAAAGTTAGTTGAAGGTCAATGATACTACTTAGGCACCTGGCAGAGGCAAATTCAAAACTGCTAGAAAAAGCACTGATAAAACTCTACTGGAGATGAATTTGCCAAATACAAACAAAAAATACATAAATCACAAGGAAACAAGCCTCTAAGCAAGAGTCAAAAAGTCAAGAACGTTAGTATTTAATCTCTAAGAACTTTAGGTAATTGAACTATTGGACAGAGATTTTTCAAAAGTATGTTTAAAGTGACTAAGACAGGAAAAAATAATTGAAAACATTAAGAATAAAACCAGATACTCTAAAATTAATCAGGCATGTTTGAAACAGAACCCAATAAAACTTTGAAAACTGAAAAAAAACCCCGTAAGAAACAAAAACTCAGTGAGTTAAGTTTAGACACTGTTAAAGAAAGAACAGACCACAGTCCAAACTGGCTAAAACAAACTGGGGTATGGGGTAAAACAGAAAACTCCTTTACAGAGAAGAATGTCTAAGTAAAATGTGGAAGAAATGAAAGTATTATAAGTCTCCATTTTGCAATCATCACTGTATTAACTGATTCAGTAAAGGATCACCAATGGATTCTAAAACAACTGGGTGAAAGGCTGTGGGGGAATAGGATATTCACAACCCTCAAAGTATCACACTATACATAAAGTATTAGTTACAAAAGGGAAAAGCTATTATGAAGAAACCGGGCTGCCATCATCTTGACCAAGTGGCCCACTCTAATGTTACCAATAAAGAGACAAAATGATACCACGTGTCTCCTGATGTGATACACTGAAAGGAAACACACCACCACCTAAGTTGTATTCTTGCCAAAAAATAATATTTAATTAAACTGAAGTCTGATAATGAGAAAATGATCACACAAATCCAAATTTGCAGAACTAGCCTGACCTCTTCCAAATGTAAATGTCATAAAAAACAAAAAACAAAAAATGCACAAATGTTCTGGATTAAAGAGGACAAAGGAAGCATGACAACTAAATATAATATGTGATCTTTAACCGGATCTAGATCAGTAAAAGAAAAAAAAGCTGCGAAGGTCATTACCGGGTCAACTGGAGGAAATGTACAATAATAGTAATATCTTAAGTCTGATCATCATGTTATAGAAAATGTTCTTGTCCTTAGGAGAGGTATATGAAATCTCATATAGGGATGAAATGGCCTTTCAGCAAAAAAGTGTCTGTGAAAAATAGTGCCTGGTTTCTACTGGAGAAAGGGGTTACAAATATGGAAAGGGTGGAGGCTAGAATTAAACCCTGTATAACTGGATTGGAATTGTAAGTATCAGTATGAACTTAGGTTTTTAATATATACAACTGAATGGATTTCACATACTGATGCACATGTGTATACACATGTATATACATATATTTCCAAGCTGTCTGCTGAGAGGACCTGGAGTAATGATACCCTATTAACATGGTACATTCAGTGCCCAGACATTAATTTTTAAGTATCATTCTCCATTAAAAGCAATCACGGCCCCTGGGAGGAACAGGCTGACCACAGAGATGGTTAGCTGGGGAAGGAAGAAGAGGAGTCTAGAATCTTGAGGTGCTAGAAAGTAAAACAGTACCACCAACAAAAAATAAACAGAAGCCAGAGGGTCCCACCAGCCAGACTCGAGGCAATCTAACTATCAAAATAAATGACATAACTGGGGAGAAGAAAAAGCTCTATCTTCTAATAGGATGCTACCAGGTAAATGTGAAAAGGTAGTCACACAATTAATGTACTTAATACCACTGAATTACATATTTAAGAATGATTAAAATGGTAAATCTTTTTACCACTCCAAAGTGTTTAAAAAATGAAAAGGATACATATAGAAAGAATGATAGAATTAGAAAGCCACTACAAGAAGCAACATATTAATAATCAAGTTTGAAAACAGTATTAAAAGGATGTTAAAATTAGTAAGTCAAAATTTGATGAGAACATATTTATATAGCCTCAAAGTAGCTGCCTACAAAATACTTACGATTTACAAGTTTGTACAAAATACTTAATTACCTAAAAACCTACAGGTACAGAAGGGTTAAAAGTACAGGGATGCACATAGATAAAATAGGCAAATACTAACCAAAAGAAAATTAGTATAGCTGTGTTAATATCAGGCAAAATGCCCAAGAGATACAGATAAAAGGAAAAACTGACCAGAATGATATAAACAATTTGGAATTTATGTGCACTTAACACAATCTCATATATGTTTAGCAAGTTTTGACAGAATTATTCACTTCTTGGAATTTACCCAAAGAAAACAAAATCCCTGATTTGAAAAGTATATATGCACCCCTATGTTTACTGCTGCATTATTTACAATAGCCAAGATACGGAAGCAACCTAAGTGTCCATCAACAGATGAATGGATAAAGAAGATGTGGTACATATACACAATGGAGTATTATTCAGGCACAAAAAAAGAGAAATCCTGCCATTTGCAACAAAATGGATAGACCTGAAGGGTATTACGCTAAGTGAAATAAGCTAGGTGGAGAAAGACAAATACCATAGGATTTCACTTGTTTTTGGAATATAAAAACAATGAAAAACAGAATGAACAAAACAACAGTAGACTCACAGACACTAGGAAGGGACAGGCAGCTACCTTGGGGAAGGGTTGGGGTGGTGGGTAGATGGGAAAGGTGAGGGAGATAAAAGGGCACAAAAATCTCAGTCATAATCTAAGTCAATCACAGGAATGGTAGAACAGCATGGAGAATACAGTCAATGATTCAAGTTAACACACATAGTAACTACATTACTGGGGGTGAGGATTTAATAATATGGATACCTGTTGAACAACTGTGTTGTATATTTGAAACCAGTATGAAATTGTATATCAATGATATTTCAAAAAAAAAATTACACAGAGATATTTAATGGGAGACGATGGGAGTTTTTAGCACTAGTAATTAACAGATTAAGCAGATAAAAATTAATAACAAAGAATTTAAGAACATTATTCAAGAAGCTTGACTCAATGAACAAATGAAACCCAATATTTAGAGACTATGCATTGTTTTCAATATGCTGAAGAACCATTTATAAAAGTGACCATACAGCAGATCTAAATGCATGTCTCAAAAAATACCAAAAAATTAATAGGGTTACAGATCAGAATCTCCAGCCACAGTACGATTAACTTAGAGAAAAGATAAAAGATAACCAAGCCTTTCATTTCATGCTTGGAAATTAAAAGAAATGCAACCACCAAAAATACTTCCAAACAACAGTAACACTTCTAAATAACAACTATAGGTAAAAGAAGAAATAAAAATAGAGTCAGAAAATCCCTGAATATGACAATAATATGCAGAGAGCACATAGGTTGTCCTTTATATTATACTCTGTAATTTTCAGTATACTTGAAATATTTCAAAATTTAAAGAGAAGAAAAGCATGTATCAACAAATAACGAGATAATATTGATTTGTTTCTTTGACATTTGTGGCACTTGCAGGTAAAATTAAATTAAAAATCAACGGAGAGATTTCAAGTGGCACAAAGAGCCATGGTCCAGTAACTGGCTTCCTCACTGTGGCCATGCTTTAGCACCTAATGTGCTTTCTGGAAAGTTCCTGAGGGGGGAAAAAATCATTACTCGGCTCAATAACCTAATTTGGTTTCAAATAATTGACTTTGTAATAATCAGATCCACCCCAAATAGATTAAGATTTGCTGACATTGTTTCCCAAGATAAAAAAGTTTCAACAATGTTCTGAAAAACAGCAGCACTTCTAGAGTGAATCCACTCTCTCTCCTGCTTGCTTGCCTGCCACACCAACCTTCCCAAGGACTACCTGAAGGCAGACAGCTACCACTTCAACAAGCTTTACTAAACACCACTTCAAAAACATTTTAAAGCCTCAACTTTTAAGACAAATTATAAGTTACATTATATGAAAAAGCTTTCAATCTTAATGTAGATGAAAAGTTCAAGATTTCTCAGTTCAGCTGTATTTTACTTCTTAAATTTGGTGAGCTTAATTCTAACTGCATAAACCGTTAAAATAAAATGTATTTCTCTCCTGAGCTACACATGGTATACAGTACAAGAGACTTAAAACCTTTATGTACAGGTACCAAGGTAATGCAAATAATTAGGTTAAGGATAATGTAAAGTGACACCAAAAATAAGTACATTAGATCTAAATAAAAAGTATATGTACCCAGCTTAACTCTATGCTGTTTCTCTTCTTCACTTCTAAGAAAAGTATCCAGAGTTCGTAGGTCTGTCATGTAGTCTTCTTTGTCAGTAGGGGAGTTGTAGACGGTGGGTGAAGAACGGTAGCGAGATCTCAATCCACTGCCCTCCACTGGTCCAACAGTGGTAGGGTATGGAGGAGAAGGAGAGGGACTATAGCTTGCCAACTACAGAAAATAAAAGAACTTGATTTTATTTTTAATTGAAATTTATTTTTGTTTTTGACTTTAAACATATGCTTACCATATGTCCTACAAATGTGCTCCTTTATCTTTACCCAAAGGAGCTGGAAACTTATGACCACACAAAAACCTGCATACCAATCAATGTTTATAGCAGCTCTATCACAATTGCCAGAAGTTGGAAGCAACCAAGATGTCCTTCAGGAGATGGATAAACTGTGCACATGCAAACAATGGGATACTATTCAGCAGTAAAAAGAAATGAGCTATCAAGCCATGAAAACACATGGAAGAACCTTACATACCTATTACTGAGTGAAAGAAGCCAATCTAAAAGACTAATACTGTGCGATTCCAATTATATAATATCCTGGAAAAGGCAAAACTATGGAGACAGTAAAAAGATCAGTGGTTGCTAGGAACTGGGGTGAGGGAAGGATGAAGAGTTGGAGCACAAAGGATTTTTAGGGCAAATTACTCTGTATGTTAATAGAATGATGGATAAATGTTATTATACATTTGACCAAATCCATAGACTTACACCACTAAGAGTGAACCCTAATGTAAATAAATTATGGACTCTGGGAGATAAGGTGTGTTACTGTAGATTCATCAATTTGTAACAAATGCACCACTCTGGTGCCTGATATTGATAGTGGGGAAGGCTATGCATGTGTGTGGCATTGGGTATACAGGAATTCTCTGTACCTTCCTTTCAACTTTGCTTTGAACCTGAAACTGTTCTAAAAAATAAATTCAATTTTTAAAAAAGTAATGTATGAATGTTTTAAAAATTAGAAAGTATGAGGAATATGTCACACATAACTCTACCACACAGAGATAATATAATCCTTTTTCACATTTCATGTATTTTCAAATCTTCAAATATGTACATAGCTATGTCAATATATTTTTGTTTTTACATAATTGAGAAAATACTGTTTAGCTTATATCCTCCTTCTTTAAAATGTTAATCAGGTATTTTTCTATAAAAATCCTTTATAAATATCTTATTATCTATATAATATTTCATTGTATCAATATACCATAATTTATTTTTACATTCTATTATTCTAAGATTTGGATTGCCTAATTTTTGGCTAATGTAAGTATAAGGATAACATCTTTGTACATAAATCTTTGCTTAATTTCTGATGCTTTCCTTTAGATTTCTAGGACTAAAATGATTTGACCAAAGCATATGAACATTTTTAATACATATTTCCATTCTATTAAATAAAAATATACTAAGTTATAGTCTTGTCAGAATACACAGAAATACCTATTTTGGTATATGTCTATCAGCATTACTATTTAAAACTGTTTATTTGATATATAAGAAATTTTTTTAAAATGTGAATTTGTACTTATACCTAGGAAATTATACACTTTAAAAATAGAATTTCTGGTTATTGGTATTACCTAGTTTATTAACTTTTTCTTCTGGTATGTTGACAATTTTTTTCTACTGGGGTTTCCTGTATTTCACCCATTCCCCCACTCCCCTCCCCATGGCAACTGCCAGTCTGCATTCTGTGTTGTCTGTTAATTTTTTTTTTTAGATTCCATATATAAGTTCAATTGTATGATATTCATCTTTACCTGACTTATTTCACTTAACATAACACCTTCTAGGTCTACCCGTGTCGTAGTAAATGGTAAGATTTCATTCTTTTTTATAGCTGAGTAACATCCCATTGTATATATGTACCACCTCTTTTTTATCTACTCATCTATCAATGGACAGTTAGGTTGTTCCCATATTTCAGCTACTGTAAATAATGGGAATAACACAGGAGTGCATGTATCTTTTTGGATTAGTGGTTTTGTTTTCTTTAAGTAAAAAGTTCACTGTTGATAATTAAAAAGACTCAATGGTAAAACTTCAGGACCCTAATGTAGTCTGAGCATGTATGTATTTGATTAGCAGTTTTAAAATTTTCTTCTTTTATTTAGGTTTTCTATTTCTTAGTCAATTTTGGCACTTTTTTTCCCCCAGAAAAATAATCATTCATTTTAATAACTTTTCTAAAGTACTAGTTTGGCTCACCACACACATATATAGCATAGAATCTATGTTTCATACACTCTTGCTAAGGAAACAAAGATAAATAAAAATGTGTAATCTTGTGCTCAAGGAGGTGACATGTACAGAGCTATTTAGTATAGATTAAAAGTAGTTTTTAAGAAATGAAAGTAGCTTAAAGATTCAAGAGTACACTATGGTATCCACTAGATGAGTATTAAGTAGCCATTAAACAGAAATTATGTTTGGGTAATAAGAATGAGTCATTTTTCTTATACTTTTCTAACTTTCTATAATGATCATATAGTACTTTTCTCATAAAACAAGCCAGAACTATTTTTAAAAGTCGTATTTGTTGATGGGTTATAAATTATCACTATATATACTGTGTAATAGTTAACGTGTATAAAATTTTCTCAATTCTATTACTTGCCAAAACTACTACTGGTGAACCAGTAGTATGGAAATTTCATTACAAATAAATATTATGTAAAAGCGTCAGGGCAGTGTGTTGATTTCATTTCCAGACACCATTTAATGAGCAGCTACAGAGATGTTAGTGAGAGCATTTGAAAATATGACCATCCTTCTTTTAAGCCCCTCTTATGCTTCAGGCAGGAGTCACAATTTCAAATTTCTCAATTTTACTTCTACCAAACCTAAAAATTAGAACAAAATTCCACTCTACTATAGGAGCTGGAATGAAGGTTTCTAATCATCTCATGGACAGTGTTCAAACTCAAGAGTCAAACCACATGACAATCCCAGTTTTTAGCTTAGAAGATACTTCAACACTATGAAAAGCACTAAAATTCTAGAAGGATATACAAGTTTCACATAAAGATGCAAAGAAGGAGTGAAAACATAAGTAAAGGAAACTAAAAAGCATTGTACTTTCAAGTTCGTTTTTAAGAACAAGCAGAAAGATCCTTGATGGTAGACCTCAGTTCATCATCTGTAAAAACTCAATTTTTTTCTTTCATCTTAAGATGTGGTATAAAGAACTTCTCACTAGGTGTCAGGAAATCTGGATTCTATTGGTTCTTAAATGGTGATTTGGGCAAGTCAATTATATACTGTTTCATGGTTTCCTCATTGATAAAATGAGTTTCAACTCACTAGATGATTTTCAACATACCTCCTAATTCTAAAATAATGTGACTGGCCAAGAGAAAAGAGTCATTACCTTATTATAACCACTGACGGGTGAGTAGGTCACTCCAGGGCTATATGAACCACTGCCACCTGACGACAGACCTTGCAGCTGAGGGCTGTATCCCGTTATACAGCTGGCAGTGAACTTGGGGCTGGTACTGGGTGAACGAGATGGGCTGTAACTCAATACACTCTGACCCTGAATTGAAGGAGAAGGTGGAGAAGGAGGGATTTGGGTTGCTGCCAGATCGTGTGCAGGAGTCTGTACAACTAGAAGGAATAAGTAAATAGTAAATAAATAGCATGTGTATGTGTACAAATAAAATTTATTAATGAACTGAATCTTTCTTCAGGAAAGTGAAAGTAATAGAGTGATCTGGTTATTAAAATACATAAACTATTATTACCAAAGTTCACAAATTAGCTGTTTATCATTTCCATAAAGTTAAAAATATGACATTGGCTTCAATGCAGCAAGAGTTGGTCATTTAATTTTAATTGTAATTAACAATGGAACAAACTTACATGAAGTGTTAAATGTTAGCTCCACTCAACTTAAATAAAATAGGAATGATAATCATTGGTCTTAAGACACTTAATTGTAAAGTTTATTAATACAGTTGAACCACATGGCCTTAGAAGTCCCTTCCAACTGAGTCTATGAAATGGGGAATATTAAATAAAGATTTAATGCCAACTTTTCCTCTACCTTTGCAAAAGATGCAACATACTTACCAGCTGTTTTCAACCCTAAAAGTGTTTGCTGTCCAGGGCTAACAACTAGACTTGTTGGTGCCACAGTATATTTGAAATATCTCCAAAAATCAAATAAGGCATTTAGGCTGAAGAGAGATGCAAGGGCAAGCTCTGGAAGTGAACAAAAAAATTTTTTAAAGCGGGGAGCAGAACTCTTCATACTCTAGCAAATCAAAACAACAAAATTGAAAACTCTCTTCTTATTCCTCATAACAGTCAACATTTAATGAATGTCTATTACATATAGGGCATTTACTCATGATACAAAAATAATTACTAATCTTTACAGCCTTGTACAATCAACTTTCACCCTTGTTTTAAAGATCAGTCAACAGTTGTAGAGAAGTCAAGTGATTTGTAAGAGCACACAACTCGCTATGGAAGCCATGATTCTATCTTAGGTATGCAGACTCCAAAACTCTGCTCTTCCACTTGCCATACCTCCTCCCTGACACACAGACTTTAGATTAATGGGCATGTCAGACTAAGGAATTTACTTTAATGACCATATGGACTCTTCATACCCAAGAACTACTGAAGAGCAGACAGAGGAGAGGAAGGAATGAGGAAACTATGGAAGGTATCAATGGAGTAAAAATCTAGTTGGTCTTCAAAGGTAAAAAGGTAGAGAAGTAGGGAAGGCAAGTAGATAAAGGAGAACAACATACAAATCTCACCACTCCCAAACTTTATTTTTCTTACAAAACTGTAATTGTATTGTTTATTCACTTAATTGTCTTCTCTACTAGAATATTCCTTCCAGAAGGGCAGGGACCTTGTTCCCTTCCTGCTACATTCCCAGTTTTTGGAACACAGTAGTCACTCTAATATTTGTTGAATGAAGGAATGGCTACTAAGTTGAATTAAATATGAATGCAGTTTTTCACTGGTAGTAAATCTGTATCACAGCAAAAAATACTTACCTATATACCAGAGGGGCCAGTATGTCACATTATAATATGAACTAATCAATTTTCCAGTCCTGAAAAAATTATTAAGACTTTTCAATAACTTAAAAACACAACAACAAAAATCAACATAAACACAAAAACCTGTGGAATCAACCACTGGCTATAAAAGTCTTACTTTTTTTAAGCTAATTAACTTACATTTCAGTATATATCATTCCAGCTATGGATACATTTAGGAGTCCCCAGGCTAAAACCACTTTCCTAGCTTCTGTTTCCTTTCTCATCTTGATGGTTCTGTCAATAAGGGAAGCACTAGGGCTTGGCTCCCCTTGCATCTATTAAAAGACAAAAAGCACAAGAATTAATCAAAGGAAACATCTCCATTTAAGGAATCAAACTTGCGTCCTTTACAATGGTTAACTAAAAATTGCATGTACTTTTATCTTTAAAGTGGTTTCCAAAATCTTCACTTCAATATTAGTGTATGAAAAGAGAACCATAAATAACAACTTCTTTGGCACCATAGTAATCAACAGAGAACTCGCTGGTCGCTTCATAGAACAACTTAATACTTCCAATAAAGAAAAATGCTTTCTTCAGTAATTTAATGATTGGCAATTACGTATGCAATTACTCTGTATTGTGTTTTTGGAATGCCACAAATACCAAACCAAGGGCTTATTTAAAATACTCAAAATACCAAGTTTTAGAAGAAAATATTCCATGTAAGCTGTAAGCCATTGAAGACTCTGCTCCATCCCCACGCAGAAGCCACTAACCGCCTGCGATCTTAACTGCACTGGGACCACAGCACGCCAGAGATCTCCGTTTTGTGTTGCTGATGAGGAAGTACAAGGATTTCAATTTTATACGGGCGAGAACTCACGGTGTAAAGGGATGAGGACGAGTGGGTAAGTGTGCATTTTTTTGGTCCACAATGGAATGTATATTGCCTTTGTTTTGCTAGGCCTCATCTCTTTCAAATGTTAAGCCTTGTTCCAGCTTCATGGAGTTGGATCCCATAGAGTCCAGAGCTGTATCCTTCCCGCCACCCAGCCAGAGTCAAAACTCCCTAGTCCCCAGAGCTTCCCTCCCTGGCTCCTCCAGCACAAACATTAGCAGGCCCTATTGTTTGTTTCCTCCCTTCCACTCCGGGTGGTATGACTCCTGGCTACAACCGCCCTTTGGCTGAACCCTCGGCAGATCAGCGGGCGTGGAACTTCCACGTCTAGGCCCGCGTGGACTCCGCGTCCAGGAAGCAAAAAGATGACCCCGAAAACGCACCGTGCTCTTCGGCCGGAAGCCGCTGGCTCGTGTCCCTCACTACTGCGCATGCGCGAAACCCGCAGGCTTGTAGGGCTACAGTTACCGGAAGAACGGGACTTCTCGCGAGAAAAGGGTGCGGGAGCGACAAGAGCTAGCAGTGTTACTAGGGAAACAGCTTTCAGATATTTGTCTCCCTGTCGGCTGCAGACGAGGTAGGGGAAAGCTGAGCGTCAAATATTTAGACCAGGAACCTGCAGTAAAAAGTAATAACTGAAACAAGTTGAATTTCTATATATTAATATAATTTTGGCTTTCTTAGGACATTTATTTACTCACACTTTAAAGATTTTATCAAACAGAGTGTCTAATTGTAAGACACAGATTGCGTGATTATGTGTCCAGACACCGTCAGCAAGAACAAAGCATTTCTCACACTTGTGTTAAAAACAAGCGTTGATTTCGATGTAAATTCTTAAAAGTCCTTTAAATAAGGGTGTAATAGTAATACGAAAAACCATAAGAGGCGTTTTGTTGTTAAAGTTGTTAGTGGTTTTGAGGTTTTAAACAACCAACAATCTTTTCCTGAATCATCTTTGGAAGAACTTCTAATCCTGAGGAAACGTTTCATTAGGGAGTTCAATTTGGTTTTATTTAACAAATACAAACGCCTACAATGTGCCACTGAGCCATGCACAGGGATGTAAAAGTAAAGCTGCCTAGGTACTGCCTGGAGGAGCACAGCTGGGAGGAGGCTGGCAGGTGCACCAGGGCGCAGGCGAGGTGGGGCTGGGTGAGGCCGGAGGAGGCCCGGGCTCCCAGAAGAGCATCCTAGACGAGGCCACTCAGGCGTAAGGCAGAGGGCCAGATGCGCACTGCCTGGGGAGCCGCCCTTGGGGATGTGGAAAGTGTGCTCCTTAATAAGCTATTGGATTGTCATATTATGTCCCAAAGACCAAAATATTTCATAAAATGCTCCTAAGGTCAAATAGAATAAAATGAAGTTTCCTTGTGGTAATGCATGTTAATGAAAATCTGCAGGCATGCGATGCTGTTAAAGATCTAACAAGTGTTTTCAAGGTAGGAGTTTAATAATGTTTTGATTGCCTTAGTGGCAATGACGTTTTGGCTATAGTTTTAGATTTAGAGATGGACTAACTTGAAAACTTATCAAAGTGAAAGCGTTCAAATGTACTGTCAAAATGTTCCTCCCTACCCCGAATCAGACTCTTGACTAAGAAATTGTGTACATTTGATGTAATTCACAACAAACATATGTATTTTTTTCCTGTTAATGTAATCTATAAATTGTGCATTTATTTGAGGCATAAAAAGGAACCTACTGCTTTCAAATTTGATATATAGTTGACATCTGTTAGTTTACTAGGGTTGCCATAACAAAATATCATAGACTGGGTAGCTTAAACAACAAAAATTTTATTTTTTCACGGTTTTGGAGGTTGGACGTCTAAGGTCATGGTGCTGGCAGGACTGGTTTCTCCTGAGGCCTGTTTTCTTGGCTTATGGACTGTCTTTTATGTCCTCACATGGTCTTTTTTTCCTGGGTCCACACATCCCTAGGGTGTCTCTTCCTCTTATAAGGACACCAGTCATATTGGCTTATGGCCCCATCCTTATGACCTCATTTATCCTTAATTACCTCTTTAAAGCTCCTACCTCCAATTTTAGTCAAATTGGGGGGTTAGGGCTTCAACATATTAATTTGGGGGGAATACAACTTAGTCTGTAACACATTTGAACTGTGTACATTAATTTGTAGTGATAGAGTGGCTGAAAAAAGGACATGGGTACAGGATGTACAAATTTCAAGAAAAAGATTAAGGCAGAGTGCACCATAGTGAGGTATGGAGGAAATACCATATGCTTCAAAAGTAATTTAGATAAATCTTCCCCAAACTTAGAAATCCAAGAAGTATTTGTTAGTTCCTGTCACAATTGCTGAAGTATATGTCACAATAGGGAGCCAAGGGTGTTGTCATACACATGGAATAAAGTTCTTCCCAGCCAGCTTCATCGCTTCAAGCATGTTTTATTTTCAGAGCAAGAAGCCATCATGGGAGACCTTTTTTCCTTATTTTGGGAGGCGGATCCTCCCCCCATACCTTTAAGTCTTACCATTCCAAATCAGGACTGTGAATGCCAGAAGGATGACCCTTGTGGGGCAATAGGGAGCTTCCTGCTTTGGTATTTTGTCATTATATTGGTCGTGATGTTCTTCTCTCGGGCATCTCTCTGGGTAGGATATCCTTTCTCATTTTAAATAATGCATACTGTATACTAGGGAATTTTCCATAAAATAGATTACTTTGATGAAACCACTTTTTAAAAGTTTGTTTTTCTAATTTTAAACACAGTGCAACCTCGTCCTAGAGAATCTATGGATATAGAAAAGGATGAAGAAGGAAATTTAAATAACTGTTAACATTTTGCAGCATATTCCAGTTTTTTTCTTTTTCTCTCTCCCAATATCTCTCTCTTTCATCTTACATGGTTAGTATTATATTGTATATATTTTCATATCCTGCTTTTTTAAAATTTAGTATTATATTGTGATATTTCCCAAAATTATATTTACCCAGCAGCACTCCTAATGACTGCATAATTTTGTCCTGTGGTTGCACCATAACAAATCTGCAATTTGGGGGCATTTTGGTTGTTTGCAGTTTGTCCACATGCTACATAATGCTGGGATAAACTTCCCTACTGGTTAATGACCTCCAAATTCCTTTTATAGCTATGTAATTCTAATCAAAGATATACAGAGGTTGTCATATTTATAAGATACATGTTGTAGGAATCAGGAGTTTTTAGAATGAGCTAATGTACTCTTCCCCATGGAATAAGATGCAGAACTAAAACTAAACAGAACTAGGTCACCACTCTAGACCACCTACTAGCAGAAGAAAATGCCATCCTTTTAGGATTAACATAGCCTGCTTTATCAGGACATGATGCCCCAACACATTATGAATAACTGAGCTCTTATAAATTGCTGATATGGAATCCTTTCTGGCCATTAATACCAGGTTGATGATGAATCAAACCACCATCATTTAGCATTACAGCCTCTGGGCTAGCAATGGTCAGCCTAGACTGTGTGCTGTATCAGCTCTAGATGGAGAAGGAGAGGTTTGTATGTCTATGCCAGCTGGATTCCATTATAATAAAGACTCATCCCCTTCACCACCTCTTCTCCCTGAGAAGAAGTTTTGGCTAAATGCTTCTTAAAATAGATACTTTGTGCCAAAAGGAGATTTAGAATACTGATAGCTTATAGGTATCTTAGACTCCCTAGCTAAACCTCCTGGATTAGTCTGGTCTAGCAAGAAAAGCTACTTTTGAAAATTAACAAAAAATTGAAATTGATCTTGGCAATTTCATCTTAAAGACCACTTAAGAGGTCAGAGCTGTTCTGCTCCCTTGCTTGCATCAGTTCTTTGGAGTCATGGAGCCTTGAGCTTCAAGGACCTCAAGAACACATATGGTCCAGCCTCCTGCTTGTAAGCAAGTAAGGTATCAGTATCTTTCCTTTTTAAAATTTTAATTGATAGGGCCCAAAGACATTAAGTGACTTGTCTAATGTCACACAAGTGGTTAGTGACAGAGGTGGGAATAGACCCAGGTTTCCTGCCGTATCATTTGTTTGCTTGAAAGCATAGTTGAAATGTTGGATTCAGTCTATTCAGTGCTGATGAAATCCTTAATTATCTTAGAGGTTTCTTCTTTCACTTTGTACCCTTATGGCAGCTGTAATCAGCTGAACTGCTTCTTCTGAAGGGTCCCAGATTTGAAATCCAAGAACTATAGGAGAGCTAGTCAAGGAGGATGGAATTTTTCCTTTACTTTGAACTTCATTTCCTCTGCTAAACTATGAGCTTTTATTTACAAACCTTGAAGTAATGGTAGAAGCGTGATGGAAATGTGGTGCTAATTATGCTTAAACATGAAGCACGCTGATTTCCTCTGGATTTGTCACTTTTTAAAATGCACTTACCCTTTTGCTTTCAGAGACTTTAAATACTATATTTAGTTTATACATTTGTTTAGTGTTTATTCAGACTGCTAGTACTGGTATTTTTCCAAGCAATACCAGTCCAACCTTTTCATTTTGCATATGTGGAAACTGAGTTTAGGGAGGTGTTAAGTGGCTTAGTAAATTGGAGTTGATTAGTAGTGGAAAAGCAGAACCATAGCCCAGATCTCTCCACTGACCTATCCTACTCCTCACAGCTGGCACTGCTTCTGTGTTCACTCACTGAGTCACACACAGACACAGCTAATAAAATGTTTTTGGTAACCACAGTTCATATGACTCCACTTAGCTTGATACAAAATCTTTCTTTTGATTTTGAGATTATATTTTTATTTGACATAAAGTCAATACGGATCTTTCCACGAAAATGACATAAACCTAGTAAGTGTTTTTGAACGCTATCCCCCCTCCATTATAAAAGTATGTATTATAGAAAATGTAGATATTATAGGAAAGTAGGAAAAACGAAATAAAAACCACATTAAATAGAACTTACAAATCACTATTAACTTTTAGGTTTACAAACTTCTAATCTTTTAATAATCATCTCTATACCTATTACATTAAAAATATTTAAGCCCCCCACAAAAGCATTTTTAAAAGACAGGTATGGTAAAAGAGGATTCCATTCAATATTTTCAGAAAATGCTTGAATTAACCCAAAAAAGCAGAGAGATACTTTACTAGAGATACTTGCCTACCATTATATTGAGATCATATTTTTAAAAAGGAATGGGCCAAGGATCTTAGTTGTGAATACCCAAGTATGGCACTTTTTGACCCAAAGGAAATCTGACTTTCTACAAAAAATTGTAGACAAGTAGAAAAATCTGAAGGGAAAAAAAATTACTGTTTCACCACTCAAAGTCAACCATTGCTAACACTTGTGTACATTGCTTAAATTTTTTCTTTTCATATTTTTATCATACTGAATATATAAATTTACATTTTGATTTTTAACCTAATATAACATTTATTTCCTCTTGTTATGACATACTTTTATTATAATTTTTACAACTATATGTTATATGATTATACAATCATACCATAATTTTTTTAACCATTGCTCACTTTTGAATTTTGAGTTCTATATTATTCTAATTACACTGTGATGAATATTCCTGCTCACAAAGCTTTCTCTCTTTTGGGGGTTATTTCCTGGTGACAGGTTCCCAATAAGAATTATTATGTGTCAAAAACAATTATGAGTATTTCTAAAATCTTTGATACATTCTGAAAGAGTTGCTTTATATTTGCATCTTTTGAGAAAATCATTTTCAGCATCAAAAAGAGGAATAATGATCTGAAAAATGGGATAAATATATTTATGGAGTTTTGGGGCAGGATATTTTGAAATTGGAACTGTTCAAAGAAATCCATTTCTTCTGATTGCCATATTCACAGACAATATATTATGGCTGCATTGTGGAGGAAAATTTCTGAAGGATCTAGGAGATATTAAGTCTATAAATTCAGTAAAGAGCTTAAGGCTTATCAGTAACTCGACCTGATAAACTGTCCTTTAAAACATAACTTAAAAGTAATCTCTATACTATCAAATCTGTTTCTTAAGGGTATTTCTCTATGATGTAAGTGATTACAGGGAAACTTTGTAATCTATAGCTCCTTATCAGTTTTATTTTCTCTCAAGTCTTTGTTCCATTTTGCTTGGTTCAAAACATTTTGATAGATTTTGCTGTCAAAGCACGGTCTTCCTAATGGACAACCCAAGTAGGATCACTGGAATAGGCACACAGTAAGTATTTGTTGAACTTCACTGAATGTTTAAAATTAGACATTGTCAAAGGGTCTGGGGCTGTAGTGTTTCTTAACAAGTAAATATGAGTGAAAAACAACTAAGATCACTATTTATTAATTTATATTTCTGAAACAGATGTCTGACAAGGATAAAGACAATGGGACAAGCACTTCATTAAGTAAAGGTGAGAGCCAGTGCATATTTGGTATTGGACAATGATGAGAGAAAAATGTGCTAAGTGTGGAAAGCAAATAATAGAGGTAAACAGCCAAGAATGTTATAGGGCCTTCCCAGACCTGTGGCAGCCCCTTGAAAAAGCTCCTTTCTTTAATGCAGAAGGACAGCTTAGCTGAATTAGCAGAGGCTCCAGAGGCTATACATTCCTGGTAAGTAGAGGTCAGGCTTTCTTTTCATTCCTCAGCATTCTCCCTTCACACAGTTTGCCTTTCACACACCTTTATGTTAGTGTTATGACAAGATTAAGAGCTGTGTATGACATCTTTTTTGGTAACCTGTAAGCACTGGTGAACTGATAGATGTTTAACAATTGGCTTTCCAAAAATGTGTGTGTGCCTGTATATATGTTTTTAAAAAATGTCCCTTATATAAAGGATATATATCACACAATTTATGAGTAATAAAATATATAATACTCTTTATGGTAAATTCCACATAGACTGCTGATTCTCACAAATACAGAATAATTTCCTTGATATTTTGCCAGTCCCTTGCATCCTTAGCTAATGTCTGGCTGCAATCAATGAACAAGTATATTTCCAATATGAATGTTACTATCCTTTAAGTTAAGGAGTAAGATGAAAGAAACAGAAAGATATGTTTTGGAGATTAACTTTGATATAATGATGTGAGTTACTTCTTGGCTGAACTGGATAATAGTTTTAGAATACTCGAAGTATTTTGGGTGCTATCCACAATGTAGTGGATATAGGCATGACACTTTTAAATGTAATTTGTATTAGTTAACATGTTGTCTTTAAGCCTAGACAACCAGTAAAACCATAAACCAATACCTGATTTTTATTCCATAAAAACTGATATCAAGTTACCAACATGATGTCACTGAACTTGGAATTGGGAAGAAATGCACAGTAGCATATCATTACATAGTATTTCCAATATCCAGATACAACAGACACAGTTTCAAAAGCATGTCATAATAAAATGTAGTAAAATAATTAGGAAATGATGAGTTCTGAGTATTGATTACATTTATTTGTAAATTGATTTAGTGGTAAGTTTATATAATTTAATTTACTAATGGCTATTTTAAAAACCATCTCACAAAAATACTTGAAAGTTTAGCATTCAGTTCTTCTGAGCTGGCTGGTACGAGCCAACATCAGCACACTGCTGTATTAAGAAGAGATCCTTTTTAGTTTCCTCCCACCTAAATCACACATTTGAATGTTTAAGACTTCCAGGCAAAGAGAAAAAGGTCTTTTTTCTGGAAAAGTTTGGAGCCTTTTCCCTTGTTCTGATATCAGGAGTCCACAAGACTTGAAAAGTAATATGTCAAGCATCTATTTGACCTATACGATCTTTGGTTTAGGAGATTTGGTATGGTACTAGAAAATGCAGTCAGCTGCCAACACTTACAAATGAGTGGGGAAAAGTGGTGGCTTGGTTAATGGCCACTCAGAACAAGCCCATACATGCCAAAGGCTTCATTAGGTAATATATGTAGTTATAGTAAACAACAATAAGCTTAACATGTTGATTTGTTTCATTGGTTGTTAGCAAGCAGAGATACATCCTGCAAGAGGCAAAGCAAAGATGGTAGCTGGGACTCTTTACAAATGATGAAAAAACCAAAGCAGAGCGAACTTACCCCTGTAACTGATTCAGAAGTGGCTTTGGTCAATACCAGTCCTGAACGAAGACTAGCCAGGTGCCATTCTCTAATCAGCCAAGTGAATCAGAACCAACCCGACAGTGATACTACTGACTGGGACAGTGAGGAATCTAACTGGGGAGCCTCCTCATGGAAGGAGAGTGAAAGTGAGCACGACCCATCACCAGCCAGTATTAAGAAGAAAAAAAAAGCTCAGAGGCCAAGGAATGTAGCAAGTTACCAAAAGAGGGAAAGGCTCTGCCTTCACTGCAAAGCTGTGAGAACCGATGAATGGTTGACACGCCACTTCCTTCAAAACACTTCTCTAACCCCGGTGAAGGGACATACTCAAAAGGATAATTCTGTACCTGAAATTAACATAGAATGTAGCAAATTTTGAATTTCATCAAGTCCTTACCTTACTTGAAGCCAAATGAAAGAGATTAATAAAAGACAAAATATCACCAGAGCCCTATGTGAGGAGGCTTTTATAATAAAGTCTCTCTACTAACAACAAAAACATACTTAGAACCCAAGAAGTAAAATTTCAGATAATTCTTTGTTAGTGAAATTGTTTATGGCACCAGTGGGACATCAAAGATCTGCATCCTCTATGAGTTTATTAAAAAACACAAGACAGATATTTTATTCCTTGAGTGCATGTATTTTATGTCTGTAATACAAATAAGGAAGCTCTTAGAAAATATATTTATCTTCAGAAACCATTTAAATTTATTCATATGTTTTGATTATCTCACTGACCTAATGATTTAATTAAAGATGGTTGGAAGAGAATGAACTCATATTCCTCATGTCCATACTTGCAGTGACTCTACCTTCGCTGTACTGCAGTACATGTATCAGCTGGGGGTTGGTGAGAAGGAGAAGCTCAAGAGCCTGAACTAAGAGCTGATTCCTAGAGCAGACCAGGGAGGGAAGGCAGCATGACCCAGAGGGGCACCTGGGCCCTTCACAGTTATTGTCCAAGGGGCATGGCAAATGTTAAGAGAAAAAATTATTCTGCCATTTGTTAAAATGATAAGGAAGACTTTATTCAAGACTATTGTAGTAAGGTTTAACTCTATTACAATAGGGGAAAGAAATCAATCTCAACTCCAAATATAGCAAGGACAGTGATAACTTAGAGCCAAGGAGCAGGGTAAAAGGGTCAGTGGATGGTAAATTACTAAGAGGAGACATCAAGTGAAGGGGAGTTCCTGCTAATGTGACTTAATAGAATTCTTGCTAAAGCAGGAGGAGGAATTTGGTCGTATATCAAGGGTGATCAAATATCAAGGGTGAGGGACTCTCACTAAACTTAGCAGGGTTCTTGCTAAAACTGGTCTGCACAGGCTAAAGATACCATGGGCACCAAAATTGAGATCTGGTTATGAAGAGCACTTAGAGGAGACCCACTAAAGGAGTCTTTATTGTAAGTTAGCCATAGTCCAGATATAGTTGGGGCTGGCTTTTCCAGTTAAGTGGGGTCCACAGCAGTAGGAAATTCAGGCAGGCATAGGCAGCCATTCTGGAGATCATTCTCCAGGTGGATGGCAGAACCCCAGCTGGAATATAAAACGAGGCCCACATCCCAGAAAAGAGTGTTGGCAAGGATAAAATATGCAGCAGGGACTTGGGGCACGGGGCTAGAGTTCAAAGAAGGGCGTAGGTCTATATATGATAAAGACTGCAACCTAATACAACGGCCTAAGCCTTTCACAGGGACCTGGAAGAGAGAACACAAAGCTATGACTTTGGGCTCAGGAGTCACTTCTGATAACAGCAGCTTCCTTAACTTATGGCAATAAAGAAACTAAGGGGGCAACCATTGAAACTAGGCTACTAGAATCCAGGACATGAGATGACATTTCTGAGCTTATCTGTGAAGACTATCTTACTCAGATTGCTTTAGGATTGGAACAGGTCTGAGGCTGTGAATGAAAAGCAGGACAACTTTAATACACAATTCAAGCTTCAACCTTTTCCATGAAGACTTTCTTTCCTCCTTGACACCCCTCCTCCACTTTGTTCCCTCAGGCAGAACTCACTACATCCTCTGTCATGCTCCATTGTACCTTGAAAAGCCCTCTATCACAGCACCTTTAACATCTTAATGTGTTTGTTTGCAAGTCTCTCTGTCCTATCTATATCTATATCTATATATCTATATCCCAGACTTTAAAGGTGGAATCCATGATTTGTCATCTTTGTTTCTCTCTGATCCAGCACAGTGCCAGACAGATAATGTGGTTAACTCAGTATACAAAGAGACTCATGAATGTAAATGAGAAGAGCTGGGGAAAGAAGAGGCAGAGAAAGCAGGGCAGTGGCCAAGATATAAAACTTAGTGAATGATTCTGATATCTCTAACTTGATATGATGTTTGTTATCTAAATAGCACCAAAACAAAAATGAAAAACTAAAACATCAAAATATAGAAGTAAGTTGCAGAGGCAGATTTAGACTCAAGTTATCTGGCTTCAGAGTTTGGGCTCTTAATTACAATGATTTTAGCCATTATTCTCCAAGGGTGTAAGATCCTGATTTCAAGGTAAGCTAATCACCACCTCCCACACAGCTGTAAGTGATGTCCAAGCAGATATGATCTCACCAGGAAAAGGAAGATCATGACTTTTTCCCAGATAACAGAGGGAGGGCCGGTGCTCCAAATGTTTTGCTTGTGGATCTAAAATATAAGCCAATGACAGTATTATCTGAAGAGTCATTTATATCAAAGACTGCTATTTTTCATGGTCTCACCCATGGGGCTAGAACAGATCAGAATTGGGGGTGGGAGATAGCTGCCTACAGGAAGAAAGAAGCAGTGTTGAGTTAAACCAGGGTCTATAAATATGAGGAGATTAGCTATGGTACATCTGTGAGTACATTAAACCACAAACAGAGGCTAAACACAGCTGGGAGGACATCCGAAGCCAAGGAGAGAAACACACTGAAGCAAAGGCATAAGGCAAGGACATGGTTGGGGGAGGAACGAAAATATGACCAGGCACACTGGGACTGGATCAGTGAGCCAGGAACAGAACCCATGAAGTGGGAGATCATGAAACCAAGGCTGCAGACTCCAGCTGTGGCTGGATGTTGTTTGTATGCAGAGGTTGGTATGAGTTGTCAGGTTGCGGGTCCCTGTACTGCACACCAGTTCCTTTTTGCTGAATGGGACAAACTGGGCTGCATGTTTTTATGGTAGAAAGCTGTAACATGTTTGGGTAGCTTGCTTAAGGGGAGGCATGGAATTCTTGGCTTGTCTCTATCTGTGGTGCACCACCCAGCTAAATGATCAGAACCAACCTCTGTGGCAATGTCCAACTACATGGAGCATAATTCTTGTCAGGAGCTATGATGCAGGGAACTATGAGGTGTAGGGAAGGGTCTAACTGTGATGGACATGTTCAAGAATGAGAATATACATATAGGAGCTGTTTAGATGGGGAGCTGGGAACTATGGCTATAGGGTAGACAGTCTCAAACTCTTAACCAGTGTCTGCTTTCCAAGATGGGATGGTATAGTTTATGTGGGAGGAGAGATGAGGCAGTAGGTTAAATCTAAATCTAATAAGCAACAACAATAATACTGAAAATAAATCACTTTTAGAGAGTGCTTGCATAGCTCCGGGAGTAAGGGAGTTCCCTGCCTAGGGCAAGTTCCCTATGAACGGAAGGTTGGGTTAAAGGGTTTTATTGCTCACAGCTCAGTCTCTCCTTCAGCTTTCCCTGGCACACTCCCAAGTCTTTCCTCTCTGGCCCCCAACTAGCAAGCCAGCTCCATTCATCCCTCCAGCCACAGTGTACGTTCGCTTCCCTTGCCAGCCCCTTCCAGGAGGAATGCCCCAGGCGGGTCCCTGGTGACTGGTGGGCACTAGACCAATTATGTATCAGGAACAGAGGGGAGGAGAGCATGGCTGTTTTCTCTCCACCCCTTGCCTTGGCTGCAGCTCTGCATGGCCCATTGATATGCAAATAGGGTGGGAAATTCTGGGTGCAAACTTCCATTTACCCCATAGCTTGCCATATGCCAGGCACTAAAGTAAGCATTTTATGATTTATTTACTCTTCAAAAATAGGTATCCCAATTTTATGGATGATAAAACGGAGGGAAATTAAATGACATGCCCAAGGTCATATAGGGGCTGAGTGTGGGGGAGCTGGGTCTTGTATTTTGTCTGACCACAAAGATTTTGTTTTTACCATGATGATAATACATTATCCATTTCTTAATGGAGAGCAGTTAGGTAAGAACTTGGGAGACCAAATATCAAACTGAGTCCAGAGACCAGAGGACTGTTAAGGGAAATGGAGCCAAGAGTCAAACTGAGCAGAGATGGGAGTATTTAAGTAAAAATGAGGAGGATTTACTTGGCTGAGTGGACAGGCCTTACAGCATCAGCTTGCCTCATCTGTAGTGGTTAAGCCTGGTGAGCTTATTGTGTATCAGGCAGAAATTCAGGTGGGTCTTTTGAAGAAAAGGGGAAATGGAAACTTAGCAGGAAGGGTTGATAAGGGTAGGAATGAGCTTTGCTCTGAATGTTGAGAACAAGAGGCTGCAGTGGCTATGATGCCAGGCTTCTTGTTCATGGAGTGGAAGAATGAACTTTGCAAACACTCAAGGTAAGAGAGCAAGTGAGAGGCTTTTATTTAGAGATAAAGCATAAAGTGAGAGGACAGAGCTCCTGGCTCATGCCAGGAAGGTACAAGAGAGTCCTGGGGTGGTACATTGTGTAGGGGTTTTATAGGCAGTTGAGAGACAAAGGGCTAGGGCTGTACACCTGGTAAGTGGTCCCAAAATGTTTATCTTTGAAGAGACATTAAGTTTCTTATTAGTCTTCCTGGTTATTTATAAGAAATTTACTGCTCTGATTTCCTCCCAGGATAGCAGCTTCCTGGTCTGGGAGCATATCACTTAAGACTGCCTGCTTTGCTCCCAAGGTGGGCTGAGTTTTCCTCTGTTTATTAAAATGTGTTAAGAAACTTACTTTTTAACTAATTGGGTTTTAAAATGCAATCTTATTTTCAAGATGGAATCCTTCCTGTTTTTACAAGTTGTTTTGGGCTGCTTGCTACATTGCCCAGGTTGCAAATTATTTGTTTAGGGCTAGAGGAAGAAAAGCAACACCTGGGCAAAGTCAGAAAAACAAGTTGCCCCCCCCACCCCAGCAGGCCAAAGCAAATCCCACAATGGATTATCTTGCTTTGTTTTTTAGGGAGGCCCTGACCATACTCTGTCTAAGCCAATTGTCCTTGTCTCAGCTACAGCAGTGAAGTTGATGGTCAAGAGTTTGAGAGAAGAATGGGGAGAGGACACCATCAAGTAAACCGGAGGCAACTACAGCTCTGCCCCAACATCCCCACCCACTGCTCCATCTCTCATGAAGGAATTCTATGTCCCAGTAGATTCTAGAGTAGTGTTTTCAAAACAGCGACCCATTAATAGATTGTGAAATCAATTTAGTGAATTGTGACCAGCATTTATTAAAGCGTAAATAGAAAATAACAGTTTCACATATAATAAGGGTAAGTATTGTTTTTGTTTCAGTGTATGTGTGCTGAGTTGCAATGTAAAATGTATTTCTTATTACTCTGGTGATAAAAAAAATAAAAGCCACTGCTCTGAAGTAGTTTCCTTTGTAATTTTGTATCAGGCAGCCAGCTATTCCACTAAATTAGAGAAGGCACTTGTCAGTCCACACGGTCCTGGTTTTTGTATGCTAGTAATTAGTAAATCTTCACCCACAATGTAGGATAGACCACTGTCTAGATTTGTGAAAAGTTGAATTAAATTATCCTACTTTAAGAGAACTTTAGGTTTATTATTTTCAAATAGAGTAAGTGGAAGCAAGCTGACCAACTGTTGCCTGGTACACAGAATGGGTTTTGCCTTGGTGAATAAACAAGAGTAATTTGTATCTGACATTTCAAAGAAGGCTTAGAAACAGGCCAGCCTTTGTTTAAATCATAATTACCCTGTTTGTATGTAAAAGGATACTTCTAAAGGTTTTTGAAACAACTAGTTTCGAAAATAATTATCTTTTAAGTATATAATTATTCCCCTTCCAATCTTGTTTACACTATTCAGAACTCCAGTGAACTCTTTTTTTCCCCCACAGATAGTATAAAGGTTAACTTCAGCCAGCCCTTCCTCAAATTATCACAAATTCCCAATTAGTGAATTCTAAACAGGGTTTCCCTGGAACAATATAGCAAAGACTTGTATGATGTGTTCTTTATTGCTTTGAATAACATCTGACAAGTTTCCAAGTACCAGGCCACCTGGATATTCTCTATCTGTCAGGAAAATGTGGTCAGAGGTGCATGGAAGGGGGAGGGTGAGAGGAAACACAAATCAGGCACAAACATGCGGGGGTGGTACAGAAGACAGAAGGTCAACAAATGCTCTTTTAAAAAAAAGTGTATTTAACAAAGTGAATATTGCATTTATAGGTACTTTTTAGCGTACAAAAGAGCTGCACTTTAAATTTACCAAAGCTAGAGATGAAAATAAAAAATTGAGCTTTTTCCTATGTAGTCTGGAAGTTATTAGAGGGGCCGAGAGAAGCTGGCAGAGGGAGGAAACATGTATGACCAAAAAATTATACTTGTCCTTTTGTGAATAACTTATTTCTCATTGCAGATTTCTACTCAATGTACAAAAGCAAATACATGAAATCATTTTTTTGAAAAAACAAAAATACCATAATCCTGGGCAATGCTGTTTTCTAATTCTTACCTTTCATCTTCTGAGCTTGGCATCTTTCATAGGTGGTTCCTGAAGCTGCCTTATTACAGGGGCCTGCTGTCTATAATTGTCTTTATTAGGGCCCTCTGTCACCATGAAGTTTCTTGTGTTCAAACTCTTGAATGAAAAACTCTGCTACTAATTAGTATAAATCAAAAGGTGGAATAGGGGAAATAAAAACCAGGTCCCAATGGAAGGGTCTGCAGCCAGGGTTAGTAAGACTGACTGGCAGGTTAGCGAGTAGAGTAAGAGACAAAAGGGACTGGAGAAATACCACTTAGGGCCAGAGTCCTGAGGCTCTTTTCTCTGATTACACCACTTCGGATGCCTGGTCTGTGGTGGCCTCCGTTGATTGTGTCCTTCCATTCTAGCAGATTGCTGGTTTATCCCACAGTTCCCTTGGCCTTCCAAAACTTAGAGTTAGATCCCAGTTGCTCTTGATAAGGAAAATATTCAACACAGCCGTCAAGGTCAGCAAACCGCTTTTTTCCTCCAGTTGGCAAAGCCCTCCCAGCTCCCTCCTCCCCTCCTCCAGGCTCCTCTTGTGCCCTGTGCATGCTGAAATGCCACAGATCAAAATACTATAAATTGCTCCCCTTGCTTGTGCTCAGGGCTCAGACCTTGGGAGATTACTCCCCTCTGGGCCCGCCGGTGTAAAATAAACCTCAAAACACCAAGACCTCCGAGCGCCGCTTGGTTCTTCCATCAGTGATCCAGTCCAGGTTTTCCAGTATTTTCCGTAACATTTGGTTCCCTGACCAGGAAACCCAACCGCTGGCCCATTGTTGCCACCTGTTTGGGGCAATGGTGGGTGGTGATGGAACAGGAGATCACAACGGAGAAGGCGCGCCCTGCCTGATCTTTCGGCAGTCTCCTGCCAGGTCGCCCTGGGCCAGCCCTGCTCCGCTGTTCCCACCAGACTCAAGGAGGCCTGGCAGGTGAGGACCTGGTTGCATCCGGTAAGGCCCCGGGGCACCTGACCCAGCCAGTCCCACCCTTTGGGGTGGAAGGGGAGCTTGATCACCTCCTGGAGACTTCTTAGAAGTCTCACAGGTAGACATTCCCTGGGGGGAATGTTTAAACTGGTCTGAGTGTGTGTGAGTGAGTGAGTGTGCAGGGTGGCAAAAGTCATTCAGTCTGCACTGAATCTGTGATCCCACGGCCTGTGCTACGGAATCTGAGTGGGCCCTCATCTGCATTCACAGTCAGCCATAGCGACATACCGGTGATTCAGCTTCGGCTGACCTGGCCCGGGACTTATATGGGTGCACCTTAGTCAAGGCTGACCAAAGTCTCTGCGAGGAGTGCGAACGGACAGGCATCTGACTGGTGTCCTCTCTAGAGGAGGCATCCCTACCTTGTCTGTTGTCGTGGCACTGTCCATGGATACATCATGTGGTCAGGGCACAGTAAACCCACAGTCCTTGACACTATGATCAAGAATTTCAGGAAGGGATTTTCAGAAAACTCCAGAGTAAAATTAACTCCTGGCGGGTTGAAAATCCTGTGTGAATCTGTATTGCCCACCTTTACTGTAGGGTGGCCTCCAGAAGGAACCCTAGATGTCCCAACAATCCGCTGAGCCTGGCGGGTTATCCTAGAGATCCAGGTCATCCTAATCAGTTCCCATACTTAAACTCCTGGTTAGAAGTTGCCCAGACTCTTCCCCCTTGGGTGTGATTCGCTTGCAACAGGCAAGGACAGGGTAGGGTCTTAGCTGCCTCAACAAAGAAGCCTGCAAAGAATCAATAGAAGCCTGAGCCTCTGCAAATTCTTGCTAGTGACCCAGAGAAAGAACCAATATTGCCCCTACCTTATGCGCCCCCAAGGTTGGCAGCACCCTGCCCCCTGTCCCAGACACCACGCCGCTGTCAGCCTCCCCACCAACTCCAGAACCAGTGGACCCACTCTCCCCTGGACCAGCAGCCAGACTCTGCCCTTGGTCTGGAGTAGGCACCCTTCAGATGCCTGTGCAAGGGACACCGGAACCTGAAAGGTGTAATAAAGATGAGACCATCCAGCCCAGCCAGTCCATGTTTTACTATCAGCCCTTCTCCACAGCTAATCTCAATTAAAAACACATCACCCTGTTAGAAAAGCCACAAGCCCTAGTTGATCTCATGATCAAACCCATCGGCCAACCTGGAAAAAAACTGCTAACAGCTTTTCTATACCCTGTTCACAATAGAAGAGAAGTGGCAGCCAGGGTCCTTGACTGGGGGTGCATGGGCTGAAATCACTGTCCCTGAGGAGCGCCCCCAGTGGGACTTCACCACCCCTGAACTACAGGACCAGATCCGCTCACATCAGGATGCCTTTCTCCAGGGGATCAAAGCCAGGTCCAAAAAGCCTATGAACATGACCAAAGTATCTTCAGTCACTCCACAACCAGGAGAGTCTCTTGAAGATTATTATGAAAGACTGTCTGAAGCTTATCATATCTACACCCCCTTCAATCTGAGTCACCAGGGAGTCAACAAATGGTCAACACCTCAGTCATAGCTCAAGTCACTCCAGACATCAGACAAAAGCTCCAAAAACTTGAAGGCTTTGCCAGGATAAATATCACTCAATTGATTAAAATTGCCAACAAAGTATATCTAAACAGACAAGTTCAGACTGACAGAGAGGCTGAAAGAAAAATGAAGAAAAAGGCCAGCTTCCTGGCAGCTGCCCTAAAAGAAAGATGACCAAAAGGCAGAGAAAATCCAGCCACCAAGAGGGGGGAAGCCCAGGACGCCCCTAGCCAGGGACCAGTGTGCTTACCGTGAAGAGAAGGGGCATTGGAAGAACAAATGCCCCAACTGAGGCAAATCCCCAAAGCCCAATCGCTGCTGGGAGGAGCCCCACGGGGAAAGGCTCATTAGTCTGGCAGGAACAGACTCAGACTGACAAAGACCAGGCTCTCTCACGCTCAGCGCCCATGAGCCCACGGTCAAAATGTGGGGGGACAACAGATGACTTTTCTGGTTGACACAGGGGCAGAACACTCTGTGGTCATCCTCCCTGTAATTCCCTTCAGTAAAAAGACTGCAAATATTCTCGGAGCCACTGGGACACAGGCAGTCCAGCAGCACTTTTGCCAAGCCCGCCAATGTGAACTTGGAAGCCACAAAGCCTGACATAAGTTTCTCTACCTGCCCGAGCGCCCTGTTCCCCTCTTCAGCCAAGACATACTCTCAAAGCTCAGAACCCAAATAACTTTTGAACCAACTGGATGCACCAGCCTCAAACTAAACCCAGTCCAAGAAGAGCCAGGGTCCCTTGTACTGGCAATAACTGCACCTTGGGAAGAGGAGTGGAGGCTATTCTGTGCCCAGACCCTCTCAAGTAGCCCACTTGAATTCAGAGCTGACTTCCTCTCAGTATGGGCTGAAGACAACCCACCTGAACTTGCTCATAACCAAGCCCCTGTCATTGTAGAATTGACTCCAGAGGCCCAGCCACAAAGACAGCAGCAGTACCTCCTCTCATAAGAGATGAGAGCAGGCATCCAGGAACACCTGATCAGACTCAAAGAGGCAGGCATTCTAACTAGTGTCAGTCACCCTGGAACACCCCACTTCTACCAATCAAAAAACCAGGAGGAGGGCACCAGCCTGTTCAAGACCTGTGAGCCATTAACAGAATGACTGTTTCTTTACACCCGGTGGTCCCAGTTCTGTATACCCTCCTCTGCCAAATCCCTGAGTCTGCCAAATGGTTCACTTGCCTAGACTTAAAACATGCCTTTTTCTGCCTCTGTCTGGCCCCCCCAAAGCCAGCTCTTGTTTGCCTTCGAATGGACTAAACTGAACCTGATACAGCAGCAAATGCAGTTAACATGGACATGGCTTATGTAAGGGTTCAAGAACTCACCCACTCTCTTTGGAGAGGCATTGGCTGCAGACTTTACCAGCTTTCTGAGGGAAGTCATGTGCTGCCTTCTGCAGTATGTAGATGACCTCCTCCGTGCCAGTGACACCCAGGAAAATTGTGCAAAAGGCACAAAGGCCCTCCTGCAACTCCTGTCAGACTCAGGATACTGAGCCTCATAAAAAAAGGGCACAAATCTGCCAGCAGTAAGTCCGGTACTTGGGCTTCCTCCTCACCCAGGGAAAAAGGGCACTAAGGCCAAAGAAGAAAAAGGTCATTATCTCCTTAGCCCAGCTCCAGATGAAGAAAGGCATACGAAAGTTCCTGGGGGCCACCGGGTTCTGCAAAATCTGGATTCCCGGATTCTCTGCAATGGCAAAACCCCTCTACAGCCTCCTGGGGGGGCCATACCGAGAACCCCCTGTCTAGACAAAAGAGGCAAGAGCCACCTTCCTGGAAATAAAGCCTGCTTCAGAACAGGCACCAGCCCTAGGCCTGCTGGGTACAAAAAAACCCTTCAGTCTCTTCATACATGAAAAAAAATAACCCTTGAAGTTCTCATGTAAACTGTTAGGCCTTGGCAGTGGCCGGTTGCATCCCTGTCAGAAAAAAACAAAAACTAAACCCGATTGAGGCAGGATGTCCACCCTGGCAGCCACAGTTCTATTCATTAAAAAAACAGATAAATTTACTCTGGGACAAAAAAATAGATATCAAGATCCCCTATACTGTTGTGTCCCTCTTAAACACACAGGGACACCGATTCCTCTCCAACTCTCAGCTGGCACAATACTAAAACTCCTCAAGGCGGTCTAGCTCCCAGAAAAAGTAGCAATTCTGCATTGCAAAGAACACCAAAAAAGAAAACAACCCTATAACACAGGGGAACCAGCTGGCAGATAAAGCAGCTAAAATAGCGGCCAATAAAAAACAGATAAAACTCCTTCCCTCACCATGGCCCTAATGCCCCCAGTGGAGACCCCTCCACCCAAGTACACTGAAAAGAGAAAGACTGGGCCATGGCTGAAGGAGCCACCCTAACCAAAAAAAAAAAAAAGATGGTTGCTGTCTGACAGACACATCTTTGTTCCAACTGCAAATGGAAGGCATCTAGTCAGCAAATACCATCAGCTCACCCACCTAAGAAAAACTGCACTAGAAGCCCTCCTCAAAAAGCAATACTAACCTGCCTTTGTAGCAGATGCAGTACTGATTTTAACTAAATCTCTCAACATTATCTGGAAACTCCATACTGCATACAGGCCACAAAACTCAGGGAAAGTGGAGCAAATAAATCGCACCCTCAAAGGAACCCTAGCTAGGTTTTGCCAAGGAACTGGCCTCCGGTGGCCAGACCTACTGCCCCTGGCTCTCCTGCATGCTCGCTGCACACCCGGGACTCAAGGCTTTCCCCCTTTTGAATTAGTGTATAGAGGCTTCCCCCATGTCTAGGAAGCCTCCCAGGGAACCTACGCCAGATAAGAAATAAGAGAGTAAGAAAACAGCTGCAAGCCTTAAGAGCCACCTTAAATAAGCTGCAGCAATATACCATAGAAAGAGCCCTGATCTCCTTAGGGACCCCAGTACATTCCTTCCAGGCTGGAGACAGTCTGAGTGAAAAATTTAAAAAGGGACCCCCTCAAACCTCAGTGAACTGGACACCACATTGTTGTTCTAACTACTCCTACTGCCCTCAAAGTCACAGGCATCACTCTATGGGTCCATCATTCCAGAGTGAGGAGAGCCCATACTCGGGACAAAGATACATCAGTAGAAAGCCCAGCCAGATCTCCAGATCCTCTCCACCTCCGCATCTGACGATTATCCTCTGACTAATGAACACCTGCAAGCCGCGGATCCTGGCCCTCGTCAGAATGGAATCTCTCATCCTGGGCATTAAACTCTCTGCTGCTGCCCCCTCCGACTAAACTGTTCTTCAAAAAGTTGCCCTTCCTATTGTCTATTGGGTAATCATTAAGTTGTTTTGCTGTGCGTACCTGTCTCTCCTAGCAGTACTCAAGTTTCAGTCTACATTTCCAAAGTACCTCTCTATATTGTTTAACTGTACAAAAGTTGTAAAGTG